GCTAACTAATTAACAAAAAATATATAATTTTATCAATCAATATATGAATGTCAAAATCTATCTTAATAATCTCCTTGAAGTCTTCGTCAAAGGAATCGATATTAACAGAATGTATATCAAAATATCTTGATCAAAAAATATATCGAGGTGATGAAGTAAAAATGTTTAATTACAAATTGCCATTTCTATACAGCTCTAAGCACTTATGGTTTCGGCTGTTAGTACATATAATAAAGTCTTGATTGTGGTTTTTTTTATTACTTTAAATTTATTTGATCCTCGCTTGTTAATTTTATCTTTTTGTATCGATTACACCCAGACAGCATTTCAGTAATACATTTTTTAATGAATGATAATAATCAATGGCAACGAACTATCACTAATTAAGATCAATTATTTTAGATCATACTACGTCTTAGAAAATATAATATAGGTTTAATCTTTTTATTTACTCGCAAGACCCATGTTATCCTCTTTCCTTGCAACATAGTTAGTAAATTAATTCCTAAAACTCTGACAAGTAAATGATGGCTTGTTAACGTCAGTCAGTCATTAAAGTTAAGCAAGTTAAGACGTCACGCTATCAATCCGTCACTGCATTTGCAGTCTGTGAGCTAGCAACCGCGATGTTACTGTTTAATACGTCTACATAGCCTTATTGTTTATTAAACTACAATTCAATCAAAGAAAATTAAATGTTTACTCTAAACTTTGAATTATTTGAGGACTTTCGTAGTTATTAACTAAACGCGTAAATAAGAAGTAAGTGTCTCCTTTAAATCGTTAAAAAATATATGTATTTTAGGAATGTTTGTTTTGAAACACGAGCAAATAGATATTTTTTAGTTTTGTAAAAAACACAAAAACTTACCTTATTATAGCTGCTATATTTTTAATTATTACCTAAATACTTTTGTCATAAATTCTTTTTTCGAAGATATTTCATTTTTTAACAGATTTCCTATTAATTTCAATGTTGAAAAAGTTATTGAAGTGTTGATATTTTTTGGATGAAGGTCTAAGGAAACCTTTTTGTATTGTAATAACCTGTAGTTTCTAAAACGAGGAAAGTAACTGTAATCTAAGTTTGTTATAAAAGGTGTGGGTGCTCCCATTTCATTTGGGGACGTTGCCGTAACTTAGGCTGAATTTATCTTGCTTTATATATGTACATATATGTTCAAAATAAAGTCAATACTTTATCAACATAACCATCGAGATGTAAGAATTTTAATATTCTTACTTATTCGAAAATTTATACATACATATCTACTCGATGTATATCATAATGCATTTAACGAAGTTAGGCTTGAATTTTCTGTTTTAAATTACAAAAACACTACATAATAAAGAGAATATATTTACATATATTATTGAAAAATTTATATAGTAACGTTGAAGTCAAAAACAAAATTAAACAAAGAAAATTTGATAACAGGTATTCCTTTAAACACGTATCAGATTCCATTAAGATAAGCTAGGGTTTATCCTAAAATATAAATTGTGTCGATGTTTATGTGCATCAGCTCGGATATCTGCGGATCGGTAATGTTACTCTTGAGACCGATTTTGTGTTAAGGTTTGCGAAGTAATCTACTTTAGCTTACAGCTTACTTGTTTCGTTTAAAACTTTCCCCCTTATGCTTCAACTATGATAAACATTTTGTAACATTAATCATATGATTTACAACAAAGTAAAATAATAGGGAATAAAGACTTAAATATGTACTTATTGTTAAGTATTGTCACTAGATTTTGAACAAATGTTATAAACAGAGTGATTACCTATATATGTTTTAGGCCTTTGTGAATATAAAATGTCGTCTAAAATGAGTAGTAAGAACTGAACTAATTAAAAATTTGGCCTCAGCATATCCTGTTGAGTACACAATCGCCACGGATACTCGTAAGTCTAACTGAACAATTTACTGTTCTACTTACTTAATCTAAAGTTAATCCTACTTTTCAGCAGTTACATAAAACCTCGTTACAGAAGATGTTTGTCCAGTGGGGAATGAAGTTTGTCTTATAAAACAACATAGATTTGGTAAAAAATCTCTAGAAGTCATTTATATTCGTTTTGTAACCTTAGTTTATCCATATTGTGTATGTTATATTGATACAATAGCAGTTTGGCTGAGGAGGTGACAGGTAAAATATACATCAAAATCGTAAATCGGCTTAGACGCTACCAAAGTGCATTGAGTACCGGATAAGGCAGGTGCAAGGGGATGATAACGTTCTGTTTGCTGTAAATCAACCGCTACAGTATCTCAACCAATATATTGCTTACACGATTGCCTTGATACAATAAGGATTTGTTAACAGATATCGAACGGTGTGGGATAAAGCGGTTTGAATTTGGTTTCAAATTACTAAGCAGGAATGTATCAGAGTGTTTTGAAGGATTATGCCATACATACATAATTAATATACACGATCTATTAATAAATTCTATTAACTTGTATGAAAATGACATACAAGATATAATATTTTAACTAAAAATTACTTAGTATTATTTTAATAAAATTAATAAAATATTAATATTAACAAATTCAATCTGATCGCAATACCTACTTTACAAAAATAATGATAATCACAAAGAAATATTTTCAAAGCATTTGGCTTAACTGTCTTAGGTTACCGTTGCCAAAAAGTAAACGCAGACAATTTAAGCAAATAGGTTACGTGCAGTCAATGCTAAAGTCAGAAAAATCACTATAATTGGGGGCAGTTGCGTGAGACTAAAGTCAGCACATTACCTAACACGTGATACTAGGTATCGCTATACAGAAGAAAAGAGATTACGAGCTCCGAATGAAAACGGTCTGCTAATGAGCATCGTAAGTTAATTGCCTCTGGGGCGCCACTATTCTGTTAAGAGCACCTTGAATGCTGATAAGAACAATTGTGAATGGAAGCTACCAAATAAAGGAGTACCTACCAAACAATGCTAATTCTCATAAAGTTTAAATTGTAAGACTTTCATTAATGTATTGTTATAATAAGACTCGAAAACTCTTTTGTATACAAACTATTTAGTGATTGAAATGTCTTTTGTAAGTCAGTTGAAGATGTAAAATAAAACATTTATTCTCACATTCTATTTATTTTCATGAAATTTAAAGTAAAATTCTGTTATTTAAATGATATAATTAAACTGGATATGAGCTTGTAAAACACAAAGAACAAATATACCTAATGACCACACAAAATGTGTGCGTAAGAAATCGGCATTGACTCGGTATGTTTGCCAAATAAGGTCTGCGGTCGAAGCCTGCGTGTGACAGGAAATCTAATAGCCCTTGAACGAGGGCCACGTATAAATTTCTTACACACGTTTCCATCCCTTTGTAGGATTTTTTCTATGACTACAGCACTCTCATAATGGTATTTATTCGTGCTGAATCAACTTTTGCAAATAAGGATCAGCTGGCTTATTATCTTATCAAAAAGATAGTAGATAATTGAATATTTAAATGGGATTATAATGTAATGTTCTTAAGTAATTTAATAAGCTACAAATGGGTAGGTATGCCAAATGTTTTCACAGCTATTTTCATTACAAAAAGTTGCCCCTACATGTTACAATAATTACTCCTATTAAAACCTATTTTGTCGTTTATCAATGTTTCTTTTAGATAGAGATAGATACTTTTTATATTTTTTAATAGCTACTCCAGCAAGTTTATGTATTGACAGACTTCTTGACATTTGCATACAATTTTGAATGATAATACCTAACACTTTGCATGTGTTAGTTTTATATATATCCTTTATTGCACAAAAAAAAAATGAGACAGAAAATAACATTTTTACACACACACATACAAACATTTCTTGCAACTTTCACGAGATTTGTAGATCGTCCTTGAGAATTTTTGTATGGAAAATAAGCGAGTGTAGAGTAAGAGAGTGATTGTGCATACCGCCGCTCTGGCTGCATAGCGGCGCTAGCAGTTAGCAGCGGCCGATCGAAAATGTTTCGTTTTTACATTGATAGATGACACTTATTAACAAATAATGACTCAAATGTCATTTTAAATGTCTTTTAACAATCGTATTTCGTAATGTATGATTAAAAGTTTGTAAGTAAGAATTACACAATATAGGTTAAATAGTTATATTCGTAGGGTATGCAGGCTTATTTGCATCCATGGTGTGCACGCCAGTGGTTTATAGTCCTTTTGTCTGGTTTGAGTGTAAATTTATTAAATGTAACAGCGTATTACTTTAGTAGTTGCCTAAAAAAATTACTATGTACTAACTATACACTGTTTGACTTATTTGAAAAAAATATAAACGTTTTTATTTCATTCAGTACTCGAGATATAATTCGACCAACAGATAAAAACATTGACATTGGCAAAATATTCTACGGTTGTAGTGCGAATGAAGCAATGCCATAAAAAAACCTTTACAATATACATTTATTGATTACAATTAGTATCTATAAATTAATATAATATAAATATAAGCTTAATTATGATAAAGTTTTATTAACCAAATTTTTGCAATAATTACTTCTTAAACTTGACATCCCGTTTTTATATTGCATAAATTATTAAAAATCTTGTGTTAACTATTACCGATAGTCTTTTTTATCCCAATCATTATTACAATACCACAAGTATTAAAAATCTTTTCATCAGATTTTATAAATATGCGCTCAACCTTCATACCATAATACATTCTTACATATTAACTCTAATTTTTTTTAGAACATAGTTTAAGATACAAAGCCTATTTATAATTAGGCCATCTACAGACAACATGACGTAAACTATTCACACAGCAAGCTGTTTATCTTACATTTTTCCAGTATACTTCCTCACTACGTCAATAGATGGCTGTAACGAAATTTGCTTGAGAAGGGTATATATGTTTAATTTTGAGAGTGAGCGAGTCAAACTGATATCACAATTCATTGCAAGCTTGAAATCATTTGCGCAACACAGTAAAATTAAGGTGGTGTTTTTTGCAATTGTGAAATAAAAATTATGGATAGAATTTATGAAGAAAATAACGATGTATCAGCTATATTTTTCGATTTAGATAATACTTTAATACAAACTAGAAAGGGAGACAGCAAAGCTTGCAATAAGGTACGTATTTTTTTTATTTTTTGACATTGCCACGGTCATAGAAAAAGTGAGTGATGGACGAAATATCTGGTTGCGCGCGCTGTCACCGTAGGATTTTACGTCGTTAAGATCCACAAGCCTGCACCCGCATGTTAAGCGTTCACGTTCCAGTGTGATATAAATAGTATTTTCATAGTTGGAGAACGTGAGCTCGACGTCCAGATTTAGATATTTTGGAACAGAACTCGTGCTAATTATAAAAGTGATGTAGACAACGTTCGCTCGAATCAACTGTATCTCACTCTCAGTGAAGTGTGATCTGCTGCGATTTGTGTGCATATCAAGTGTTCGCTTAAAATGGGAGACATATCTGAGCCAATAAAAAAATGCATACTCATACTTAAATCAGCAAAGACTGATACGGAGAAGTTTGCAGCTTTGTTTATGGTGACGAAACTAGTGAAAAGCAAAGATTGCAATTCTACAGCGAAGAAAGCTTTGTTTGAAGCAATAGGTTTCAAATTCTTAAAGAAGTTGTTAACTGGAACCAATGTGCAAGATGATTGTCCGCCGTCTGTTTATAAATCCGTCGCATTGTCTATTCTTACAAATTTCTGTAATGAACCTGAGCTTTCTTCACATCCTGAAATGCTTGCAAATATACCAGTTTTTCTAGATATAGTACAAACATCAGACAATGAAGATTATGATGATAACCTCATTATAATAAGTGAAGCTTACACATGCTTACAATGCATTGCAGAACATGAAGCTGGTCAAAAGGCTCTTATAGAAGTTGGTGCCATTACTAAAATGTCTGAAATTTATTCTCACCAAAGTTTTCAAACTGATGAAGCTCTTAATATTCTCGTCAAGTTAGTAAGTCGCTATGGACCTGCTGCGTGGGGTAATGATCCTAAACCCTTCCATGCTTTAGTCAATAAAATCGCTCTGGACTTTGCAACTGACCAATCTGAAAGAAAATTTGAACTAGCTACCATACTCAGTGCTCTATTATATAGTTGTAACAAGGCAACGGTTGTACCAGGTTTTGCCGATGAAACCTGGCCTTTGAGTATATACAAAGCCCTGTATGATATTTTAACAAGTAAAATTGGTAAAAATCAAAGAGACCCAGCTTTGAAATTAGCAGCTAACATTATTGATTTACTTGGAGTTGAATGGACATTCAATGATGAAGAAAATCCAAAGAAATTCTTCCTATTACTATTGCAATTGTGTGCTATTGAAGTAAGGATGCAGTTGGAAGATAGAAGCTTTAAACAAGCATTTGCAAACGCTGAACTCGTTACAGCTTGTTTCATTGTGTTGGAATCTTCAATTAACTATATGGGCACAGATCAATTAGATTTAGAACAAAAAGAGAAACAATCAGTGTACACCAGTCTCAAGGGAGCTTTTAATGCTGTTGTATCAATATTAACTAAAGTCTCAAATGACAAAAACAAAGATAAGCTTCCCGATGCTGAGAAAGTTTTCATCTGCGCTATGGTAAGAGTGTTAGTTGCATGGATTGCTCAAGAAACCACTGCAATGAGAGAACAGGTTTATGCACTATTACCATATATTTTTACCCTTGCAAATGATTCCTTCCATGCTCATCGATCCAGAAAAATGGCTGAAAAGACTAAAACTGAAGGGGAGCCTATGGATATGGATGTATCTTTATTGGGTCAAATTGATTTACTGCGCTTAATGTTACCTGCTTTGTGCCATCTTGTTGTTGAAGACAAAGCTAGAGATATTGTACTTAACCTCAAAGAGGAAGATATTCTATATGAAGCTATGAATTTCCATTGGTCAATTGTTCATTATAAGAAACCACCCATCCCAAAGTCAGAAAGAGGAAAAGCAAGGACACAACCAGAACCTGAATTAGATCCAAAAGTTTTGGAAGACATGAAGGATTCAAGAGCTGCAATGGTCAGCCTTTGCAATATTTTTATGAACTTGACAGTTTTGGCTCCTAAAGTAGTTGAAAACAGTATGCTATTTAACACTTTACTTAAATTTATTTTTAACAATTTGCCAGAATTAAAAAATATACCAGACAACCTTGTACTTCATGGCCATCTAGCTGTGCTAGGTTTGCTTTTGTTAAAACAACAGGCCAGCAAAGTGAAAAAGAATGACTTTTCAATATGCAGATACATACAATCAACAATCCGATTCCTCTGGGATGCATACAATGTGGATGAGTCCAATGATCCCAATGAACTTGTTGTGTCAATGACCTATAAGGAACATTGGAACGAGATAGCTGATTTGTGGTTCTTGGGTATGCAAACTTTAAGTGGAGTCTTGCAAACCATCCCTTGGATCTCTGAGTTTGCTATAGAGAGTGGATGGGCTCAAGGAATAGCTGAAATGCTTGTAAAAGTCAAAGTTGGTACTTTACCCCCCAATGTTAAGTCAGCATTTGAAGATTTCCTTTGCAGACTTGTTGACTCAAATGAAGGTGCTATTCCTGTCTTGAAAAAGGGTGGTGCATTGAAAATGTGCAGAAATCATAGATTAATGGATTTGGGCAAAAAACTCTTTGGAGATTAAAAAAAAACTATTGCTTATTAAAAAATATTTGGCTTGATATTTTTGTATGGAAGAAATATAATGTTATACTTTAACAATTTTATATTGTTTTTCACATGTATATATGACTAAAGAAAACAGAATTGAAGTGTTGTCTATAAATAAAATTTTGTAATAATAACAATAAAGAGTGTTACAAAAAACGTTTTTGTTTTATTTTAATATAAGTGTTAGTTTATACTATTTAATATTTTGTCCTAATGAATAAAATGCCTTGATGAAATAATTGAACTCAAAGTATCATATAACAAACACAAAGCTTTGCCAAGTAGAAGGTGAATGCACAGCTGCTGTCATCTAGAACATTGAACCCAAGCTATTCTCGGACCTAACTAACACTTCCTTATCTATGTCATCAATTAGCTTAAATGTCTTGAAAATGTGGTTGTCTTTACATCGTGAATAGTATTCCAATAAAATCATTAGACATTTAGAGTTCTGATATATAAACTTTGAAATTCATGTTTATACTTTGGTTTCAACAGCTTGTACAAGTTTTGGTACATGAATATGGTCTGCCTATGGATGCTGCCTCGGACAGTGCGTCTGCTTTTCTACAAGCATTCAGAGCAAAACCAGACGATGAATCCTACGCAATAGACGAATGGCCCACGCACTTATGGCGTAACTGTCTGCCTAAAAACTATAGGCATATTGCCAGTTAGTATTTCCTCATTTGATAGTGTGTAATCCGATTAAAATTTCATTATATAATCTTTTGCAGAAAACTATTTTTGTTATTCTTACATTTAATGATTATCGCGATCTAAGAAATCTATATTGCAATTTAATAAAATAATAATTAAAACTTTTCTTCTTAGCTGTAATGTTTAAAAAAAAATCGTAACTTGACATACTTAATACAATACCTAGTACTGATTTATATAACCCCTTAATTTATATTTCTCTAAAAATTAGATGTTGAAATTAATTAATAGAGTAATTATATCTCAGCAGTAATAAAATCGTCAACATCATTATTTTGTAACACTTGCTTATACAGAAAGCCAAATGCGCATTTTCTTTATCGTTCAAAACTGTTAAATTTGTTTCAGAAAATATATCAGCACAATGGTTAACATTAAGGTTTCAATATTTAGCACTGACGCCAGATGTGATACATCTTTTAGAAACACTGAGGTACATTCAATACAGTTCATAATTTTATGTTATGCAGAAATATTTATAGATATTATACAGTAAAAATATTTCTCCATGATGTAATTTAAGATATATCGAGTAGGCAATCACTTTATTCTTACTCTACAAACAATATATTGTTGAAATATAATACGTACTACGAGAAGTGATTGCCTATTTTGAACCTTAATAAAAGATGTTTTAAGATTATTATTTTTATACAAATTTTAAAAGTGAATCATAAATCTTACAACAGCTTTCGTGAATAATGTGTTGTTATAAATGCATGGTATTACGTGGCAAATCCATTTCATTTAACACATCATAGACGCATTTAGATTTTGGCTTTTTGTCATCTGTCACTTACTCCATTAGGTCATAATGCCACATAGTACTGTGTGAGTACTGTAGGTATATTTCAAACTGTCATAAAAGTTAGCTCCAACGTTTAAAAGAGATAAAAAAATAAAGATAAGATAAAAATAAAATTTATGAGAATTTAATTTAAAGTAACAGAATATTGAAATATCTCTGATAACGTTGAGCTGGCTTTAAACGCATGTTGCTAATAAATGACTTGTTTTTCAACAGTTCTGTTGTTGCTCAACGAGTGACTAAACTCTGGGCGCCGCGTGCGCAACACTTAGGTTTGAATTATAATTGTAAAATATGTGAGGGAGTACATCAAGAAGGTAATCACTATTGCCTCAAAACTTTTAATTCAACAATGGAGATACTTTGAGTATTACGGTTAAGTTACTAGGTTTTAGGTCGTTCTCGTGTGCGGTAATCGAATGATAAAATATCTCCATTGTAATTAATTGATAACTGTGCTTGCTGTGTTGAGTGTTAGTACAAAAGATATAATACTCAATTAACGGTTACTCAACAAGGCACACATTAGTCTTAAGTTGTTTACATATAATTTATCATATAGTAAATAAATTATATGTGAATCAGTTCATGATCACGTTTGCACGGTTTAACTTGAGATTAAAGTGTGCAAGTCGTATGTGTGTGCTGGGTTTCAGCATATTAACGGCATGTGATTTAAATTAAAGCTGACGAATGAAACATGAATGAATGAATGAATGGCACAGGGAGGATTATCTTCTCGGTTTGATCACGAACGGGCCTTCGAGAGCTCAATGGGAGAAGATCCAACGGCTGGATCTCGAGAAGTATTTCGACTGCGTGCTGGTCTCCGGGGATCATCCCTGGGAGAAACCAGATCAGAACATCTTCTTAGAAGCCTGCAAGTTACTCAACGTTGAAGCCCGGACTTGCATCATGGTTGGGGACAAGCTCGAAACTGATATTAAGGTACTTTTTGTTAAGATATCTGTGATTTAACAAAAATTGCAAATTTTCAAATATAATATAGTATATATTTATTTATCACTAATTATTGTCAAGAAATATTGACATTCAACTATAATTAATTTCCAAATTCGTAAATTTGTTTCCAATTAAGGTTATTATGTAAATGGATAAATAGGTCTAACCTCCTTTTGTTATTTGTCTAGGCATACAAAAAAATATAACTAGACTATGTAAATACAACTATTGTTAATATCTATTTAATTGATCTTATAAACACAATAGCTCTTTTAGTTTTAAAATTTAAACTTAATTAGTAAAAAAAATATTTTATATTCTAGGGTGGTAAGGACGCTGAATTAGGAGGAACAGTATGGATTCCTCTACAGTATGACGAAATGGTATCAGATCTGCCAGATTTCAAAATTCAAAAAGTGACAGAGTTACCGGAAGTGCTGCCAAACTCACCAAAGCTAAAGAAGAGGGCTGCATAAATAAATTAATTAAAAGGGTATACATAACATGAGGTACAGGTTGTACTTAACAATATTCTCCATATGTGGAGATGAGTTAGTGTATTCATACACAATACAACATATCTATTATGACATAGAATGTTTGATGAGTACCTGTCTACTTAATAGTCTATGTTATACAATACATTGATTGTACAAAATGGCTTTTAGCAAAACAAGGTTTTTTCTAAACAAGAAACTGCTGCTTAATTACTAATCTATCTGTCAGTGTCAATTAAATATTGACTCATCTTTATAAATTTATAGACTACTGAATAAGTCAATATATTTCTCGAAACTTTCAACATTAATGAATATTTATGTTATGTCAGTTAACATTCCAATATTTTTTTCAAAACTTTAGTATCTATTCATTAAATCATTTAATGCAATTCACATTAATCAATTTTTTTCAAGTAGATAAATGTATTTTTATACTAATGCGCCAGTAATTAAGTTTGACTATTTCATGTGAATGGTATATAACTTAGCAGACTACATTTTTTAATGTCAATTTATTATTATATAGTGTGAATAATTCTAGACAAAGTATGCAGATTCAAAAATGTATAAAATTTTGTCTCCTAACCTTATTAACTTATAAATTATTTTTATACCTCGCAGTTATAAAATAATAATATTGTTCCTTCATATCTAAAACTTGGCTACAGTTAGCATGTGAAACTCAAGCTTTAATATTATCCTTAGAGAAATCACTTACTTTTTTATTTAGTTTGTTTTTACTGTGATTTACTTTTCTAAATGTAGATTAAACTGAAAAATTTTCTATATATATTTTTTAATAAACATTAAACAATTTCTATATAATTTAAAAGAAAAACATATTTTTTTAATTATGAAACTTAAATAACTTAGAATTTAGATATTTTAGGGTAGTTAATAGAAAAATATTTTTGTACTATAAATAATGGTTTTGTTGAATATTTCGGTCAGACTGTATGATGTGATAGTACATTTGTAATGAAGGTAATAAAGTGTTTGTATATAGGCTATTTGGTATAAATAGTAGATGTAGGGGTTCCATATTAGTGCTTTGCTCGGATATATAGGCTTATAAAAACTGTTGTCAGTAGTTTTGCATTACTTTTTGACTTGTATCTGTTACTTGTAAAGACCCAACATATGTTTTCTTCTTAAACATGGAATATGTTGTGTAGATGTAGTATAATTTCCTATATGGTTTGTTATATTTCATATAGTTTATTGGTGTTGTGACTATTTGTAATTTAATGGACTGATCTGGTAGTATTAGGTAGACTAATTTCAATTACTTTATAGAATATTACCATTTCTTAATAAATAGATCAGTTTAATTTGGCCAAACTGTTTTTTTATTTCTATTTAATAGGATGTTCCCTATAATTGAAATGCAAAGTTTATGAGTATGTATGGATTTTTTAAGGGACTATTGTTTCCATATATTATGACAATTAAATCTCCAAGATATGCTTTAGGTACAGTTAACAAAACATATATTTTTCTTATAATTTATTTTTGTATCAACATTAAAACTAAAAATCCTACCCTAAATCTAAACACTTTCTTAATTCAAGCAGTCCTCAACATTTTGGCTTCTCTTCTTTCTTGTAACATTTTCTTCTGTTCCTCTAATATGACTTTCCTGTCTTCAAGGAATTGACCATACTCCTAAAAAGATGAAAATATTGTATGTGAACAATTTTTTTTAAAAGAAAAAGATATACCAGAGCATACATCGCTAATTATTTTAAAAACTAAAAATATTTTCTAGTAAATATTTCATAACACTGACTTCATTACTTAATTATAATTAATCAAGAAACCAAATAGCATTAAAATTAATGATAAGACCAAATTCACTTATTGGGTTTCTAATATGGTCTCTGTTAATAACAATAAAAATAGGCTAATAATTTATTTTTTCATAATAGATGTTAGGATGGAAAAGTCTTATGTTACAAATGAGTAGTTACAGTTTAAATACACAAAAAAATACCTTGGCATCTAATTCTTTGACTACTTCAATACCACAAGTTCTGGCTGTAGCTATTAACATGGTGCAAACTTCTTTCAATGGTTTCCATTCAAGAGTCGGATCTTGGGACTTGATTTTTGCTATTTCATATATATGCTTCAGTGTTATTTTCCCACATATCTCTTTGACTATAATTGACAATGTATTAAACAATTATGCATCTAGTTTCAAAAGATAAGAGTTAAAAATAAAGGATTTTAGTACCTGGTTCCATAGCACCTCGGCTAGCACCAGCAGCCTGCTTCAGGAAATAACTAGCGGGAGGTTGATGTATCACTAGTTGATACGATCTATCAGCATTCACTTTCACACGAGTGGGTAACGGAATACCAGGTTTTATACTAGCAGTACGCTCATTGAAGTCTTTACAAAAAGCTGCAATGTTTATGTTGCGCTAAAAAATAAATAAATTATTAGACACATGTATTTTTTTATTTTTTTTATTTATAACATGGTTTACCTGTCCTAACATAGGCCCTAAAGGAGGACCTGCAGCAGCCATACCAGCAGGAATATTGGTTACCAGTTTAGTGGAGTGATTAATTTTATCACCTACTTTTTTCATCGACTTCAATCTAGACACAGACTTAGACATTTTGATTGCCTTTGCTTGTCTAATTCAAAGCTAAAACTTGTTTTATACAATATTCAAATTTCAAAATAATATAACCTTAAATATCGCTCAGCTGAGCTGACGTTAGTGGGAAATGTTGTCATTATAAAAAGTGTCATTTTAAGTAATTAATTATGTTCAATAGGATTGTATATAAAACTATTAACTAATTTATGTTTATCTTTTAATCGAACCAAAATATAATTAAATAATTACGTAGATAAATTTATACTGGCAACTAAAATAAACGTCAATCATAAATTCTAATTTATGCTATTGCAAATTGTACTGTATTCTTGTCATATTTTTATGAAACTTAGCTTATTGTAGATTTTTATAATATAATGCTTTTAGTTTTCGCGTTATAACTTATTATTCTTATTAAAAACGTGCTTTCAATGAAGCAATATATCTGTTTTTAACTTAAGTATTATGAAAATACATGTACCACTGTGCATTGTTACTGAAAATATGTGTAAGATTTGTAAATAATTAATTAATAGTTAGCGGAGTATTATACAAAATGTGGTCATTTTTTTCGCGTGATCCCACTAAAGATTTTCCTTACGAAGTCCTAGACCCCGTTCGTGGTTTGGACGATAGAAGTGTTTGGACACTCCACAAAGGAAAGAAAAGAGGCACTCAAGATGAGGTGTCAATATTTTTGTTTGATGTTGGCAAAAACTCGGAAACATTATTTGATATCGCTAAAGCCTCCTTAAAGAAACTAAAGACTATGAGACACCCAAGCCTTTTACATTATTTAGATAGCTGTGAAACTGAAAAATTTTTATATGTAGCCACAGAATATGTAGAACCACTAGCTACACATATAGAAAATATGAAACTTGAGGGTCAACAGCGAGACTTATTCTTAGCCTGGGGTATATTCCAAATAACTGTAAGTGTTATTGTAATGGTATTTAAGTAATTATATACAATATAAACATTAAACATCATAGCTATCCCAAAAATAGTTAACATTGTTTATTGTAGACAGTAAGTACAATTATTAAAAAAAACCTCATTAATTTATTTCCAGAGAGCTTTATCATTTTTTAATAATGATGGTAATATGAAACACAATAATGTGTGTTTATATTCCGTGTTTGTAACACTTGCCGGAGAGTGGAAACTTGGTGGATTTGAATTTCTTGCAGCTCACGGTCAAGATTCAACTAATCCTATACCAATTAAGATATTACCAGCCTTAGAAATATATGATCCGCCTGAAAAGAAAGATACAACTAAATTAAAATCTGTTACAAAGTGGTAAGTATGGTTATTCTGCTACAAAATTTCTTTTAACAAATTAAAATATTTAACTATTATCATTATTATTGCAGTAGTTGTATTTAATAGTTATAAAAACTTTGTGATATAATTATTATCAATTTAATTTATCACAGCTTCCAACTTTTTTGGGGTCATTAACTCTGACCTAATTTTAAAGAATCCATTATCAACATAATATCCAAAGTTCTATTATAACGTTATTCTATAATGATAAATAATAACAATATTAAAGTAATTTGTTAAATTACTGTAAAAAGAATATGCAATTATTAATACTGAGTTTGGTTTTGTTTAAATACTATTAATGAATGAAGTACTTCTAGCTTTTTATATATAGCTGAAATACTGTTAATACATGATCAGATAAAGTATGAAAACATAATAAATTATCTTGTTATAAGTATGTACTAGCCTTTTCAAAAATGTTTAGAGGCCTAGGGCTTTCACCACTGTAGCTTATTCTAACTACATATATACAGGGTGACTGGTGAATTACTATCAATATTTAAGGAGAATACTCGGTACATGATTCTCATTCGAATTATGTAATAAAAATAGGTACTTAATTTTTTGCCAAATTTCCGTATAAATAAATAAAGTGTTGACACGTTCCAAGTGTTCCAAGTGTGGACGCGTGCGGCGGCGTGCTGATACAACACCACGCCGCTGCACGCGTATGTGTGTGTGTGCGTATACCTAATCTGTAGGGTGTTCACACGATGCGTAATTAATTACATAACTTTTGGTTAACTTTACTCTGAAGTTTATTAATATTTATGTTATATTAATTTTTATTTTGTCATATATGATCGTCAAATATCACGTCCTCAAATATCGATAGTAATTCACCAGTCACCCTGTATAATCACAAGTCACCATTTCTAATTTCATTTAGCTGTAATATCTTATAGTGGCTTTTCAGTGGGTGAAAAAATGGTGGCACTAAGACATTATTCTATTTTATTCTCAAATTGGGCAGTAGACAAAATAGATTCGGTAATCCCTTATAAATACTGATATATAACAATTGAAATTAATTTCTTACAGTTCCTCAGATATGTGGGGTCTTGGTTGTCTGATTTGGGAAGCTTTTAATGGACCATTAAAAACCCAGCCAGCATTGAAAACTGTTGACTTGATACCAAAGCAGCTGTGTACATTATACTGTGAACTAGTCAGTGCTAACCCAGCCTCAAGGCCAAACCCAGCTGATATTATAACAAGGTAATAATAATAATAATAGTTTATTTGCTGGAATATGGGTTAACAAAGGTATTTCATACATTTACAGTGGTCCAACATATTCTGAAGATTTTGTGTGCAAATATTTCTGAATAAACTAATAATACTACTAATGAATTTACTACAATTACAAATATAAAGTTTATAGTTTACAATTTAAATAAATAATATGCAACATCATCATTATAAATAAATAGTTATTTGTCAGTTAATTCAAATAAAATTACAATATTATTTATAATTTAAAATTTGTTGTTAAGAAATGCATTTATACTACATATAATACAGTTTATCTATCAGTAATTTTAAACAAAAATTCTTAAATAAATTTGGAGACAATTTTTACAATTTTAATATTTTATACAAGGTATTCACTAATTAAACAATATAAAAACAAATTGTATCTCCAATATGTAAACTTTTTAAAGATAAAAAAATTTAGTCTTGTAATGACTTTTTTTTTTAAGTAAATAAAGTAAATTATATAATCTAGCTGCGCCCCGCGGTGTTACCCGCGGATTTCCGGGATGTATAGTAGCCTATATGTTATTCCTGGACGTCAGCGTCCTGTATTCAAAATTTTGTCAAAATCGGTTCAGCCGTTTTGAGCGTGAAGAAGTAACAATCATACACACACACTCACAAACTTTCGCAATTATAATAATAGTAGCAGTGGCGGCTGTACCTTAAGTGCACTCGTGCGCTGAACCACCAATTCAAAAGATTTAAAAATTACAAAATATTATTTCATCTTTATTTTTAAATTACCATTTTAATATTTATTTTTTAGCGATATATAAAAACGTATAAAAAATTAAATTTCCTAATTACGATCAAAAAGTTTGAGCGCTTTACTAAATTAATATCGTGCGCTACGGCGAGCGCACGAGGACTCCTAATACATCTTGTATGAGATACGAACTAATACGCCTGACGCGTGAAACAAAAGATAGTTCATAGAAATGTACCGAGTAATGAGTCGGTTCTCGAGAGCCGCACGAGCGGCCGAAGATTGCCGAGAGCACCCAATGTATGACGAAATGAGCCGTCCGTTTTTGACATTTCGTTATTGCATTGTTGCATTTTCTAATTTTAATATTTTAGTAAAGTGCACCACCAGTTCGATTACCCACCAGCCGCCACTGATTAGTAGGATAATATTGTATATTTATTTTAAATTATTTCAGATGTAGAAAAATGGGTGGCTATTTTAAGAATGATCTGATAGACACAATGTTGTTTCTAGAAGAGATACAAATCAAGGATAAAGTTGAGAAGGCAAAGTTTTTCTCTACATTAAGTTCATATCTTGACAACTTCCCAGAGGCTGTGTGTATTCATAAGATACTTCCACAACTACTCACAGCATTCCATTATGGTGACGCCGGATCAGCTGTATTGGCTCCTATGTTTAAGGTAATATTATTTTAATGGTAAAAGTAACTAGTCTTTTCTACTTTTTAAATGCAGGTTTTTTTTTTCAAATATGCACACCTCATAAAAACTTTCACGTTATTTTTATTAAAGAAATCACAATTCAAAATGTTATTGATTAAATAATTATGTATGTGATTATCAATGAAGGAAACTTAAAAATAATTTGATGTTTTTTAATACTTAAATTATGATATTAGCATATTATAAATAATCATAGACTAAGTAAAAATGTAATAAGTTATATGTTAAAATTGTTTGTATAAAGTTTGTGTAAAGATTGTTTCAGTTTGGTACAGCATGTTCAGCTATTAACCAATAAATATCACTACCATTACAGTTGGGGAAACTTCTCCAAGACGCGGAATACCAGAAGCAAATAGTTCCGTGTGTGGTGAAACTGTTCGCATCCAACGACCGCACCACGCGTTCCCGACTGCTGCAACAGTTAGACCAGTTCATCATGCATCTTCATAACGCTACAGTCAGTATATACTGTAAAAAAGCTATTGACTGATAATAATTACATTGATTTCAATATAGTAATAGTAATAATAATAATAATATACTTTATTGTACACCACAATAGCAACTATGCTAAATTACTAAATTTATCAATAAAAATGAAATATGTACAAAATAAAAGTAGATGCACAATAAGGTAATCTTATCGCTAGGTAGCGATTTCTACCAGACAACCTTATGGGCTTAGAAACACAGTCGTGATTTCAGAGAAGGGTGGTATCACATGTTATAATAATAGTAATATTTGTTTGCATAAAAAATTACACCAAATATCTTCACATCATCAGATAATTATAATTATTTGTCCTAAAATTGTCTTAACATGTATGTCAATACCTATTTCTTTTTCTCGTCACTCAGTAGTCCTACTTTCATCCTTATCATTTATACTAACAAAATAATATTACTACATTTTATTTAATGTTTCTTCTTCTACCTGGCAATTTCCCAGCTTTAGCCAGGGTTTGTCTAACATGTTGTGAATAGTTTTGGCTAATTTTTATACGACCGGCCGCCTGCCTGACATCAACCCTCTTAATATTACAGGTAAATGACCAAATTTTTCCACAAGTGGTGCACGGTTTTCTGGACACGAATGCCATTATAAGGGAACAAACTGTCAAATCTATCGTCCATTTAGCGCCTAAGCTGAACTATAATAACATTAACGTTGAAGTACTGCGACACTTCGCTAGACTGCAATCTAAGGATGATCAGGGTGGAATAAGGTAAGAAATTATATTTGACATATAGACTATATATTTTGTATGAAAATATATGGAAACATACTTGAATTCTTCTCCACTACCAATTAATAACATGTAAATACTGTATAATCCTCACTTTTGCTAAGCGTCTTGTATCAGATTGTACTGATACGCTCTTTTTTAATATTTACAGTATTTATTTTACTAAAACCATGTTACTAAAACTAAAAACATAAAACTAGTACGATTTTTTTTATAAACTTTAAGTTTCCGGTGTTAGACCGTATTACTTCTTAATTTTCAATTCAAAATCCCAAGATTATTATTTCTACAGATCTCAAGTTAGACAATACCATAAGCAATTACAAAATACAAAACAAAGATGGAGTTTCTATATAATGCAGATATAGATTATATCATAACAAACTATAATTAAAGCTCTCTAACATAAAAAAAATATATTGTTCTAAATAAAACTAATATTTTTCGGATTACTACATACGCGTATTTTATTGTTTTTAAAAACTACATACCCACGTTTCCGTTACTTTGCAGCAACCGTGATCACGGGCAGGGCATATATGACTTAATAATCTGATAATATTAGTTTCATTTAAATGAATAATCACGAAAGTCTTAGATCTCATTATCTTTCGCTGGTGTAACCTGTCGCTGACAGATCCGGGGTACACCGACATAGCGGCCGATGACTTTCGCAGTGGTTTTAGTGAGTAGGGGCCTACCCAGGCTGAGTCTCACACATCCCTTCCGGCCCCACCAAGGCCGGTTGGACGGCTCGTAAAAAGAGTTTCCCTGCGACACATAAAAAAAAAAGATCTCATTATCTTGTTATATCTTTATAGGACGAACACAACGGTATGTCTCGGCAAGATAGCGACTCACCTCCACCCTCAGATCCGTCAGAAGGTCCTGGTATCAGCTTTTGTTCGCGCCACACGTGATTCCTTCCCGCCCGCTCGTCAGGCCGGAGTCCTAGCGCTAGCCGCCACACAACAATACTTCCTGCTAGCTGAAGTCGCCAGCCGTATACTACCCGCACTCTGCCCACTCACAGCTGACCCGGAGAAACAGGTTCTATTTTATTATATACTAGCCGCGCCCCGCCGTGTTACCCGGGGATTTATGAGATGTAAAGTAGCCTATGTGTTATTCCTGGACGTCAGCTTCCTGTATAAAATTTTATCAAAATCGCTTCAGCCGTTTGAGCGTGAAGAAGTAACAAAGATACACACACACTCACAAACTTTCGCAATTATAATATTAGTGGGATTATGAATAAATATCCTATAGAACATTCATTGTGGAGCTAAAGTTACTAAAGTCGCCATACTAGAACATATTGATATAATGCTAACATTATGAAGCTTTGTCATAAATTATTATATGTCAGGGAGATGGCCCCTTTGTTGAACAAATTTATCTTAAGCTGTATCTATCCGTAAAACTTTATGTGAATTAGGCTAGAAAAAAAAATAGCTACAAGATAGCCAATATTTTCATTCAAGACTTCCCTAATACTTGTAAATATCTAATATAATTTTTTTATTTGCCAGAATCAACAGTTGAAGGATATAAAATTAGATGGTCTAATAGGTTTATTAAATTAAAAATCTTCTTGCAGACGAAAAAAGCGTCACTAATATAATAAATATAGCATAATTATTGTGATTTAAGGTTCGGGACGCGGCGTTTAGGACTATAAAAGGATTCCTTGGGAAATTAGAAAAAGTGTCCGAAGATCCGAGCTTAAAAGAAGGAATGGGTATGTTACTCAGAAGGATAAAAAAATATCATTCTGAATTTTATACATATACAGGGTGACTGGTGAATTACTATCAATATTTAAGGAGAATACTCGGTACATGATTCTCATTCGAATTATGTAAAAGAAATAGGTACTTAATTTTTGACCAAATTTCCGTAAAAATAAATAAAGTGTGGACACGTTCCAAGTGTTCCAAGTGTGGACGCGTGTGGCGGCGTGCTGATACAACACCACGCCGCCGCCGTGTGTGTGTGTGTGTATACCTAATCTGTAGGGTGTTCACACGATGCGTAATTAATTACATAACTTTTGGTTAACTTTACTCAGAAGTTTATTAATATTTACGTTATATTAATTTTTATTTTGTCATCTATGATCGTCAAATATCACGTCCTCGAGTATCGATAGTAATTCACCAGTCACCCTGTATACTAGCTGACCCGGCGATCTTCGTACTGCCCTATAATCAAGAAATATCTGTTACCTTTTTATCCGAATGAAATTAATTTATGAAGTTAATGAAGTATTTTTTGTCCTTTTATATATTTTAAAAAAGGAAAAATTTTATTTCATTTCACAACAGTAATGAATTCATTTCGATTACAAAAATGAAGTGTTATTTAGTTGAACTTCTCTAAGTAAATGAAAGTGAATCTAAAGTAAATACTGAATCGAAACGTTATGAGTATCCGCAAAGTATCCGTTTCATTGAAGTGCTTTGTGGTAACCACATTTTTGGTTGTTTGGTTTAACGTTAACACAAAGCGGATGGTTTCCCAACTCGTGAACACGCAAAATATGACTGCCCATGTGAAAAACAATGATTTTCTAAATTTATCCCGCAAATACTAAAATGTTTTTAAGAGTTTAAACTACAAACACAATACCGGTTTGTCACACGAAATTAACTGAGGAGAGAACAATGAGTAGTTGACAAAAAATGTATCATGCACCGGCGCCATCTACTTAAAATATTGATTTGTAGTACATGTTGTGTATCAGAGATGACGCTGTATGTAAAAAAAGATAGTAGAGATATATATACTAGTCAAAATAAAATAAGGGCCACCATGTTTTTTAAGTGGATTAAAGGAAATATGAGATTTAGGGATATGAAAATGATTAGATTAAATTATTTAATCAATTTTTAATGTAAAGAGCAGCAGTTATTGTTTTATTACTCTAAAATTAACATTCCTTTCTTTTTTTTTGGAAAAACCGGTACCGATAGGTTAAAATTTATTAGATCGCTTCAAACGTCAAAATAAACAAGTGGCCCTTATTTTGTTTTGACTAGTATATATATATATATATAATATTTTTCTTTATATTGACTACGTTTATAGCACCATTATACTATACATGCAAATATAACATACTTATAAGAGGTAAATGGGTAGTAGTTGTTTCTCATATATTAAATTAAACCTGAACCAGAATAACTCAAACATAAAACACACCCTAATTTCTTGTTATAATTGTATGTTTAATATTATTTTAATATTTTCCAGAGGCGGACGTGAACACAGCTACACCTTCTTTAAGCAACGCAGCGGCCACGTGGGCGGGCTGGGCTGTAACAGCTGTTACTGCTAAGTTCTACCGCTCACATTCAGACACAGCGAGGGTACAACACGCGCCTAAATCTGTATTATCTAAACCTGGCTCTTTGGGTAGGTTAAAAAATGAATACGTATATGTATATTCATAGCTATATTAACATGTAACTATTATGTAATAAGATCTAAGACTAATGCGAGTATTCATTGAAATAAAATAACCGAAACGTCTGGAGTATGTAGTTAAAATAGTTAAAAACGAGTAGTAAACCCAAAAATATTAGTTTTATATTAATATACACATACATTTTATATGTCTAGATATATTAATATGGGCATATTATTAATAGAGGAAAAATATTTAAACAAATGTTTATATACAATGTGCTCTATACAAAATATATAGCAATAATATACAAGTTATAAATAAAAATGAATGAATGCCTTCCAGAACAACCTTCATCGAGCAGTATGTCGACGACTACGTCGTCGGTGACATCGATGACGTCACTCGAACACAGCGAGTCAGCCTCGGACTATGACCCCGAGCATTGGGACATGACCGCCTGGGGAGAAATAGACTCGAGCGCTGGTAATAATTATGACTTCTTCTTCTTCCTGGCAATTTCCCAGCTTTAGCCAGGGTCTGCCTTGTATGTTGTGAATAGTTTTGCTAATTGTTTTCACGACCGGCCGCCTGCCTGACATCAACCCTCTTTGGGAATGCATTAATCAGTGATGTCTAAAATACTCTTAGAAAGTACATATGACTCGGAAAAATCACATTGTCACTTCCTCGGGCCAGGATCGAACCCGCGCCCTCGTGCTTGAGAGGCGGGCCTTTTAATAATGATGACTATATACTAATAAATAATTTAACTATTCATTATGGTGGCTGATGTAACTTTACATTTAAGAAACATGTACAAGTTTAGAAGAAATACTTCAGACTTTAATGACAAAGACCTATATAAATTTTAATTTATATTAAGCGGAATACGTTTAGAAATATTTAAAAAAATGCCAGTCTAAATTCTTACCAGTTTCAAAATTTCATTTTTTACTTCATTTGTTACATATTGACCATATTGTCTTATCAATATTAATAATAGAGTTGCGTTTATTATGTTCAACTATATATATATATATATATATATATATATATATATATATATATATATATATATGTATGTGTGTGTGTATTCAAGCAACGACGGGTGCTAGTGCGAAGTCACCAGGCAGCAGTGGTAGCGCTCAACAGCCAGCGCTTACAGCGCTTTGTGAAGATGACTGGGATAATGATGAGTGGGGCACGCTACAGGAACAACCGGTACATATTTACTAGTCTAGTTTATATCGCGGCTTTGTCTGTGTTCCGTAAGGAATTAGGTAAAGAGAAATTGATAATGTGCATTCAAACAAAAATTGTGTTAAACATAAAAGTGATGTCCATAGTGTGTGTCAGACACCTTATGCAAAGTACACTCATTATCACCAGGTCCTTCGGGAACTTCGTAGAATGCTAGAGTAAATTACAGCGTCTCTGATCGACATAACTAAAAAGTTTTATCAAAATAAGTTTAGTCGTTTTGCGGATAAGAGAAACAAAAACTTATAAAATTTCATACATTTTCACTTTTGCTATTATAATATAAGTAGAATAGAAATAAATTTAAGCCACTTGCCTAAAATTTCAAAAACATTTCTAGATTATAAGCTATTTGTGCATAATTTCATATATACTATCATTTGGGTATGGTATTCATTGTGATAGTTTTAATATTTCTTTTTGGGCTGATTTCTAAATTTTTTCTCAGTAAACTAGTCTTTCGATTACTTAGAGTCATATCAAAATTATAATTTTTATATATAAAAGCCTATATCCAAATATATTAGTAAGGATTAATATAATAAGTAATAAATAAATCTATTAAGTAATGAGATTTATCTAAATTTAATAGTTGATAATTGTCAACAAATAATTAATAAAAATATATATTTGTGTATTATATCTCCTTAGGTTGTGTGTAAATTAAAATTAAATAATAAATGATAATTTGCACTATTCCGTACCTCTGATATTTTCTTAAAGTGAATTTTTCACTCACTGTTCACTGTTTGCAAAAGCTTTTGTATAAATTCGCAATATACATCTGTTATACATTTTATTATTATCAAAAGACTGTTTAACCAAACTTATGCCATATATTTCTCATAGACAGCGGAAGCGGAACTGGTTAGTCCATCGGAGACTTGGAACAACAGCTCATGGGTAGAGCCGATGAATAACGCTAACGCGACTTACGTTAGAGGGTCGAGGTTGGAGCATCGACCGGCGCATCAGAACAGTGGGGACTCACTGGCCGGCTGGGAGGACGGAGAGTTTGAACCCATTGAGGAGAACGCTGACGGTAAGAGAGAGAGATAGATATATATGTATGAGTGAGACAGAGATACATTGTATCATACTTCCACTATGGAGGAAATTAATATGTATGTATGAAGTTAGGTAGTTCGTAAAAGTTTTTATTATATAACAGAAATTCATTCCTTTAGCGTATAGTAAAGAAGTTGTTTAACCATTATATAAATGATTTCTAGAAAACAATGCATCCAAAATGGACGAATTAAGACGTAAACGCGAAGAAAGAAAACTTCAGCGTCAACGTGAAATGGAAGCCAGGAGAAGTGCGAGGGGCCAAGGACCAATGAAATTAGGCACAAAGATAACAACACCACCGCCGCCATTTTAAATGTCTTTTATAGTGTTTACCACAAGACTTGTGTTGATATATTTAATTAATATTTATATGATGTCTGCTTCCGTAATCTATGAGGAACAGCTTTCATTTCATCATTATGAACATTTCAAAATCATTATTCATAAAGAATGCATGCTTCAGAATATGCAAGAAATTTTTAATGACTAAAAAAATTTTAGGGGAGAGTCGGTTAATTCGTAGAGGGTAATGCCCTACAAGCGGACACAAAAAAAAAATTTTGAAAAGGGTATTTTTATTGACAGGTTTACTAACTTAATACATTTTGATTTATTTAAACGGACAAATTTACAACTTCTGCGTCAGTGTATTCAAAAACATTAATAAATTTTGCTGAGATTAACTGCAGTCTCTGCAATACGGGCGATTTCACTCCAAACATCTAGAATCGGATAGTCTTAAATCATTTGACAACGATCACATAACACATTGGAACATTCTGGAATATCAGTCCTCTTCATGAAGCCACTCATAACTGAAGCAACGACGATTCCTCGTCGTATTAACAATACATTTCAGGAGATGTGCCCTTCCCCTGCCACATTAATAATCTAACAGTTAACCTCTAAAAACGATGCACTCACACACAAATAAACAAGTGCTTACTTATATGAGCAACCCAAGGGTTTGTTGTTTCTTCGGGTCAAGACCCATGTGAATAACTATTTTTACTTCAAAACGCTGTTATTTATAGAACAATCTCGGTGCAACTAAAGTGTAAAATCGTATTTAATAAACAAAACAATAGCGTCAAACAAAACGATCGTGATTAGTCAAATGTTTAACAATATCAGATAAGATTGAAAGACGCGCGTAAAGCGTCATGTTAATTGACCTGGGCGCGCTACAAGCGCTCTTTTGACTTCCGAAATATTACTTGCCTCGGTCTCCTCTACGATATAACCAACTCTCCTCTGTATAACTACCTACCTTTGTCCATCATCCAATATGCCTTTCGGCTATAATAATATTATTATTATTTTTTCATTTCAAAACAATAAGGCCTTGTGATAAATTCATAAAAAATATTAACACTATTAAACCCTTCCTAAGTTTATATTTTAAACTGTTAATGGTATCAGGTGATCGTAATTTAAATAAATATTACGATTGTGCTAGTCTCCTTATTTAAAATTTAAAGATTCCCTTTTGAAATGTATTAAATGTCCGGATTAAATCTATTGCAAATAATAAAAAATAGATTAAAATTGGGCATTTTCACGTATGAGACTTGGTATAAAAATTACGACTCCAAAAAAATATTGTAATTACTGAGTGTTATAAAAGTGAAGCATCCAAGTTGTCAGCGAAATATAACATTGTGCGAAGGCGGGAAGGCAATCCTCATCTCTGAACTTCTACTATTCCACATAATGCAGACTGCTTTGTATAGGCGGAATACTACGGTGTTTATTTTTTTCAGTCGTTAAATTCAAGAATTGCATTGCATTCTTGTTGAGATATTCGTCTTTTTTAAAAACATGCCTTCGGATGACATAAAAGATGAAACCGATCATATCGACTGCAAAATGACATTGACAGATTGTATTATACATTTCCAATGCTTATAAAAATTTATTATTAAATTATATAATTTTCAATATCAATATTGTTTTTATTTACCTCTATCATCTCTTTTTCCATTAAGTACGTTACTGGATAAGTATTCATGGAAATCAATAAAATTATTCTTCTTTTTCTAGGGAAATCAAAGAAATTAAGAAGTACCTACTATATTTATGCAAAATTTTGTGATAAGAATTTAAAACCCACGTTTTAAGTAGGTATGTCTGAAAGAAAATAATGATAAATTCTTAGGCTATAAATAATTCCGGACATCCAAAACATTTCTTAAAATTATTAAATCACAAAGATTTTTCAATAGTGATATTATAAAGTGTTATAGGTACCACAAATAATAACAACCATGGTTTAATAAAAATAATTATGTGTAATAGTACTAATTTATTAAAAACTTTGGATAAATATACAGGTCCTGAAATATGCCAAGAAGGTAACAATAAAGCCAAAATATTACTAATTTAATTATATTCAACATATAACACAAAGAATGCATTACAATAATCTCCGCCATATTAACCTGCAAAAAGAAACTAGCATAAACATTTTTTATAAGACTTTCAAAATGTATCAAAAAATACGTAGTAAGAAATGAATTTTACTTTAAATCTTTATAATAACGTAGTTTTCTTGATATTTCAGTAGTATTAGTAAAAAAATATAAAGAATTAAAATGTTTAATTATGGCAAAACTTATCAATTCTTATTGTATTGAAATAGAAATAAAACAACATTGAAATAAGCAACTATTTAATATACAGGGTTAGTAAATTGCTATTTATAATTAATTAAGTACATTTAGTTACAAAGCAAGCATTAATTAATAAAATCAAATTATATTAGTCAATGTTTAAACAGTAACATGAATTAAAACTAAAAACACGAAAGAATTTAGTTTAAAAAAAAAAACTACACTAAATTTATATAGAAGTATTTGTAATTTCTGCGTAACATAAATTGTAAAAAAAAATACAAAAAGCCTTACAAATTATATTCCACACACTTATGTGCTAGGACATCCAAAATCAATTGATCACCCCATCAATTGTAGATTTTATAGCAGAATAAAAACCTCAGTATAAATTCTACCTTTGATGGATAAAAAAATTGACTCTGCAACTGTAACAACATAAACAACCAAGCAGTCACAACATTTAATACAAACTAAATATTGCCAATGAATCAAAATAACAAGCGAATAATATGAATGATTTTCACAATGTACCCAATTACGATGGTTTTGATGTATGACTCGCGATGACCGCTCGGCTGCCCATGTTACTTACAGTTTGGAGCGCAGATCGGATGTCCCAGCGGCTAATTGTCAGGATGGTTCTTCAAATCTGGAACGAAACATTTTCAAATATAATAACATACAAATAAATCATAATATTAGTACGTTAAACGAAAGCTCTATGTCGTTTCAAGAAAATTGCGCGAACTTATAAACGTGAAATTGATAAAATATAGTTCATATAGACAAAACATTGCTATGACGCTGTTTTAATACCTAAATTATTTAACATAAACATAACACACTCTATAATGACTTTGACACACTAAATGTCAAGCATAATGACATTTATTTTCTAATCTTGAACTTGATATATAAAACACATTAAATGAATTAATTATGGCAGTCAGTCTTGGCAATAATAATATAAAAAATATAGAATTAAAAAACTAACTGACTCAAAGTAAGAATGATAGTGTTTGTTATGACTAAATTAAATGAAACTTAGAGAAACAAAGAATTCTTTCCACTATGTCTATATAAAATTATTTTTAAGTTAAATAAATAACATGGTAAATGTACAGCTGCGTGCAAAAGTATTAGGCACCCCTATTGTTAGTCACTATCTCATTATATTGCGGTCAAGTGTGTGTTTCATGGTTTAGCTATTGTATTAGCGGCAATTTTTAACCAAATTAAGATAAAAGAAAATATTTATGACATCCAGGTGTGCTCCTAAGCGGTGTTTCTTCGAATTTGCTTTTTTTGCGTTTCGGGTTATAGTGTGTTATCAGTGCTTGCAGTGAACATACACGTCTTCTACGCAACTATTCCTATCACAATTCTAAAGACTAACATTTAACGTGTTAATCATGCCGAAAAAATCTGAACTTAGTGCTGAACAGCGTCTTAGAATTAAGATTTTACATGAACAAGGCATGTCTCAGGTTAAAATAGCCCGAGAAGTGAAGTGCTCGCGATGTGCAGTTCAATATGCTATAAATCGCTTCAAAGAGACTGGCACCCATGAAAATAGACCAAGAACAGGCAGAAGAAAAGTTACTACTGAACGGGAAGATCGATTGTTGATTAGGCAGTCTCTACAAAACAGGAAAAAAACTGCTTTAGAGCTCGCTGCAGCATTATCTGAGGCAAAAGGCAGCTCAGTGAGTGTTTATACTGTGAGAAGAAGACTTCTTAAAGCTGGATTAAAAGGATTTAAAGCAAGGAAGAAGCCGTGGCTGTCAGAACACAATAAGAAAAATCGGTTGGAGTGGGCACTCAAACATAGAGATTGGTCAGTGGAAGATTGGTCCAACGTACTGTGGTCAGACGAATCTAACTTTGAGGTATTGTTATTTATTTTATGTACAATATTAAAACACATAAATGTTTTTAAAATAACGTACTGCAAGAAAAATAATAACTTTGAAAATAAATGTGTTTTTTTCGTTTGGCATAGGTATTTGGAACACCCGGTGTGACTTATGTTAGGCGAAGGGTTGGCGAAGAATACAACCCAGAATGTGTGGTTCCCACTGTTAAGCATGGTGGAGGCTCAATAATGATCTGGGGCTGCATGGCTGCCGACGGAGTGGGCGAAATGGTGTTGTGTGAGGGACGAATGAATAGTGTTAAATACACTGAAGTTCTGGAAACAGCACTAGCAACGTCGATAACGCAAATTTTCGGTGATACAAACACCGATGGCCTGAAATTTCAGCAAGATAACGCCACTTGCCACAAGTCCGCGCATACCATGAAGTGGTTTGCTGAAAATCATATTGATCTTTTGGACTGGCCACCACAATCACCAGACCTCAACCCGATTGAGCATATTTGGTCCATTTTAAAGAAAAATATCCGCAGGCACTCGATTAGCAATAAACAAGCTCTATTGGCCGCGTTACAGCAGGAATGGAAAAATATATCAAGAGAAGAATGTTTCAGGCTGGTAGAGTCAATGCCAAAAAGAGTGGCTGCGGTTATTAAGTCAAAAGGTGGACCTACAAAATATTAATTATTTTCTTAAAATAAACCATTGTAATCATAAATGCAGTTTTATTTACACTCGCTATGCTAAAACACCCTAAAACTTGTCTTACTGTAGGGTGCCTAATACTTTTGCCCGTGGCTGTATATTAACCAAATAACACATAAAGAACTTGTTGATAATTTTATACCTAATCAAATTTTATAAATATAATTTTATTTTAAAATCATATGATAATAAATGTTTTACTATTATTGTATAATTACAATAAAATTTACTTCCTTATCATGACTGAGATAAAATTAACATGTTATATTGATAAGATTGGTTTGATAATATCTATAGCAATAATTATTACTTACCTCATATTCATAGCATTAGAGTTACCGGGCTCAAGTTTATAACCAAGGCTTTCATAGAATTTGATCAGTTTGTCTTTACAGTCGAGTGACATCTTATAGCAACCCAGTTCTTGAGCCAACAATGATACGGTCACCACAATTCTGAAAAATTTATTAAAATCAACTTAATTATTTCAAAAATTATTAAATATATGTATATTACTAATGTTGTATGATATGTTAAAGAAATTTAAACAAGAAAATTCAAGATTCCATTATTAAAATAATAGTTATATAATGTAGAGAATAACTGCCTAAGCAATTTAAAATATTTAATTGGTTCTAACTGGATTAATTGTATCAATTTTTTTTTTAATAATTTCCTTCTATACATAAAGCCATTAATGAAATGTTAGTACATAATTATAAATTAATATTATATATTTAATATAGAACATTACTTACAGTTTTCCTAATTGCTTTCCCCGATAAGTGTCATTCACAACAACATCTTCTAAGCGGCCTCTCTGAAAGTGCAATTCAGATAAGAATTTCTAATACAATTTATAGTTATAAAAACTTATGTAACGACCTTGACATATATTCTATGTTTTAAGAAATATGCAATAGTCTTTCAAATTACGTTGAGACATACCACAGAGCAATTATGTATAAATTTTTGTTCAATTGTTAGTGTTGCAGCTCCAATTATTTTTGAAATACGCTTGTCCTCTATAACTGTCACGTAATATCCGCCAGCACTTTTCATCTGTGTAAAACGTTCTGAAATAATTGTTAAATAATTAGCTTATATGCATAATATAGAAGAAACTCATATATGTTGGTAAATAGAAAAAAAATACATAATTAAATTTGAATGCCACATTTTTCTTCAATATTAATTGTAAATATATGTTAAATGCGCTTCTATTTAAAGCTGACATGTGACAATGCTAATACAATTTTAATTAGCAGGAAGAGAACTTGGTTCAATAATCACCACACCCAAGAGGCAAACAGGTTTTAAAAGGTCAACCTATTTTATTGAGATAGTGATTTGTAAACTTTATATAGTATTTTTGAGACCTGTTTTTCATGTTAGTTGTATTGAAAAAGTTGAAAACAAGAAAGGAAATATAAAGCAAGAAAAATTATAAATAGTTGAGAGTTTATGTAAACTCAATGAACATTGAAAGGGAACAAATTAAGGGATATTTCATGATTAACCTGTTACTAGTATTATATTTAGTATATGCTATTTAGTATGCTGATGTATCTTACCATCAAATTGCTTGCGTGATATGCTACCAGTACTGGTTAACTGACTCAGGAGCTGAAGAAATCCCTTATCATAATCAGCTCTTTGAAGAGGTCTCACAACCATCCAATCTTCTCCAGGGTGTGCTGCGCTGATGAAGGGGTTGAATTTGGCTGGGCTCTTGCCGAAATCCAATTTTTTAAGTATATCTGGATTATATAGATATTCCGAATTTTCGTCCTAAATAAATAACATTTGTTAGTCTTCATGGTATAACCAATGTACATATACTCTTTCACTTTACACATGATGAAAAGTACTTTTTAGTATTATTGTACATTCCAGATTTTAAAATTTCTACAACAAAAAGGTACCCACCTCCATACTATGTTGCTTCTCCATACCCATCATTAAAATTGAGTATAGATTTAAGTAATAACTACACTTTCAGTTACAAGGTATTATTACTGAACATATTCGTTATTTAATTTTTTAGCGTATAAAATTGTTGTCGGCGTGGCGAACGCCGCAGGAATGATTTGTAAATGGTAATTACTACTTAGTAAATATGTAAGACATAAAAGCTCAAATACCAGTGATTCGATAGAAATATGTCCATTGATTGGTTACAAAAATATATAGGACAAAACAAGTTCTTTTTAAATAAAAGCCATTGGCTTATTTACAAGAAAAGTGAAAGTATAAATATAATGTCACGAATCCACTGCAAGACGTATGTAGTGAAACTAAAATTGACACATTGCCAGATCATATAAACAAAATACTCACAATCATTATTAATAATACAATTATTACATTAAAAAAATACAAAATTATGGTTTAATTAGTTAGTTACATACAGTAATGTTGGCTACAAATTTAATAAATAAATATTTTTAAGAAACACTGTCCGCGTACGATTTAATTGTTCTCTACTATGTATAAACAATAACATACGTCTTAAAAGTATGTAAACTAATGGAAAAAGTTTCAAATATATTTTTTTTATGTAAAAAATGGTAAACGAGCAGACAGCCCACTTGATGGTCAGTAATGACCGTCGCCCATAACATCCGCAACATAGATGTTGGAGATGCGTTGCCAACGTTAGTTGTGGAGGAAAAGGGAGGGGTGGGAATAAGGAATTATAAGGAAGGTTTGGGAACAGGGAAAGAGCAACCGGCTCTCTCACTCATCGGACGAAACGCAGTCATTATTGACTACTTCAAACCGATCTTCTGTGAGAGGGTGGTACTTCCCCGGTCGAGCCAGCCCATATGTGCTGTAGTAACTAAACTACAGCTAGGCTCTACCATCTACAAATATGAATTATTTGTCTTGTAATTACATTTTTCATAGTAGTAACATCGAATGATGTTAACAGCTGTTTTTGACATCTATCAATTTTATGAAGTCTGAATTTGAAAATATTAAATAATACATTTAGTTCAATTTTAAATAACACTTGATCTTATAGTTAATTTCTATTGAAAATGGCTCTATATAGTAGACTCAATGTTTGTAATTTACGTGGGTCCACCTTACTGTGTAAAACGAATATATTAAACAATGCTCCTAGCTTAAATGAAGTTTCAAAACGTTGTTTATTTTGGGAGAAGGATAGAAAAGCAGGATACAGTTCCAAAGATAAAGTAAGCACCTTTACGCATATAAAAAATGGTATGAAGGAACTTAAAACGGAATTTAAATTATTAACTCAAGAAATTAAGGAACATGTGTCCCATCCCGTACTTTTTGCAAGACCTGGTATGTAACTTTTGTTTGTTATTACAAATGTTTTTATACTTTCCATATCATCATAATCTTCAGACTAGGATAATTAATTGTTGTATAAAGATTTTGTTGCTTCGTAATCTCTTAAGATAATACTACACTGGTAGGATTGTCTATAAATTTTGTAAATAGTCTATCTATGCTGTTGTTAGAAACATATGTGTACTATTCAGTTCATCTACAAATGTGGTTGATCTATTGCCACTTCTAACTATCAAGCAAAAGTGATCAATGTAGATTACTTTAGTTCTGCTTTGGACATCATCTAGTGAATTTAACAGTATTATCCTTCTTATTTGCATCAATCTCCATTAATGCCGATAGTTAGCAACTACCTCTCAGATCCACTGGAGATGTAGTTCAATAATCATTTTGCACATTGAACTTTTGTAAAATCGATCTTTCCTTCATAGCTGGTGTCTTTTATATGTATTCTATAAATACATTGATTAAACTTGCAAGAAATTATGCTGAAGTGTTTGATGAACACAAAATCTTATTTTTCGTACAAATGTTCTAAGTTGGCCATAAACAAAATGTTGGTTTATATAAAATACTAGCTGACTCATCAAACATTCTTTTGTCATATAAAATAATAGGGGTTGATTATATAATTTTTTATGGGTTGTATGTATTTTTTAAAGCCACATTATAAAAAATAAATATTTTGTCCTAAGATTAAAAAAAATATGAATGGGTTAACAACCCTTATTACTTATTGGTATGAAAAATAAATAGTAGCCGAATCTCAGACCTCCTGAATATGTATATAAAATTAGGTAAAAATCGGTAAAGCCATTTTGGAGGAGTATGGTAACTAACATTATGACATGGAAATTTTATAATGTGTGAAAAAGCATGAGGTTTCAAAAAACTTTGTAATCTCTCTTTACTTTAATGGAAAATGTATATTTAAAATTTTATTATTAGTACATACACTTCATATTTATGTTTTTATGAAGTTGTGAATGGACCAATTTTCACAGCATTTGAATTAGAACATGGCTCATCATTGTATATAAAATGATATTTTATCTGTAGAAAATTATATCTGCATTCATGTCATTCATTTCTTTATAACACTGTATTGTTATTTATTATAATATTTGTAACAAATAATGATAAAAGTTAATTGTAAAATACTAAAGCTAACAACCATTGTCATAAGTTTATTATACAAAAAATAATGAGAAAAGGAGATACAAATGTTACTTGTGTAAATAATTCTACTCACTAAAGTTAAAAATTGCAGAACATCATAAACGAAGGACTTAATTTATTGTAATTACTCCATAACCCTAACGTCCTTTTTCACTATTTGCTTTATTTTCTTTTACACATTATTTAATCACTATCTTCTGACAGTATATATAATAATTTTACTCTAATGAGTGGAAATGACCCAAAAAATAATAATTACTTATTTCTGTGTACACACTAACGAAATTCTTTTAAAATATGCATTTAAAAAAGCAGCTGTTTATACGTTTATTCGATCACTTTAGTTTTGAAATGGTACATCCATGAGGCATAAGCTTCCTTTTTAATAATTACAGCTGAAAATTGAAATCTTCGAAGTTCTATGTCATTGTTTTTTAATTTTTCCACTTCGTTCATAAATTTATTGGTAACAATTTTTTTTTAAATAACGTAATATGATAAATCAATAATTGTATACATTTATTTATTTACATTGTAAAGATTTAAATTTTCATATTTCTTTCAGATTTAACTGTTTGAGTTTACAGACTAATAATATTTACCTTAATAAATACGATCAAGTGAAAACTTCTATGTTCATCAAATAAACAAAATTATTTATTATTAACCACCGTATTATTACTTGATTTGCTGTCTTTTTACGATTAATTTATTACACGATCTTTTAACTTTAATTGTCATCAAAATATTTTTGTTGGCTGAATATATCGGATCTTAGGCTTGTTGATTATTTCTGGCCAGTGTGAAAAAAAATCAAACCGCCTGTTCTTGACATTTTACTTGGCCCGTTTAAAATTGGTATCCGTTATTTTCGTTGTGACCGGATTTATAATATTAACCGACTCGAGATTGTGTTCTGATATATTCTTTCTGATACTTTTCTTACTGCTTTACTGTGTTGTGGTGAATTTAAAGTGAATATTTGTTTGAAAAGAAATGCGATAACTGAAAAAATTTCTTAACGAATGATTTCAAATATTTTATCAAGTAAAACTCCACATCTACGTTATGACAAAAGTGAATTAAATAACATCTATCAAAAATTTCAAAGTGTTTTAAATAAATCTATAGAAAGTTGTGGTTCAGTCCGGGAGATGTTGTCTTCGAGAGCAAGTACCGTTGCATCAGATGAAAGTTTCATTACTCCTGTATCTTCGATGGGAGATCTCATGGCGATGTCACCAAGGAAGCCGGGAGAATTAGACCACCCTGATGTCACCAGCGACCTACTTACCGGTTCCGATTTTGATAGTATATGTGACGTTACTATGCAAGAGGTCCCTTTGTATGACGACAATTTGTTTATTGACGCAAACAGTTTAGACTATTTAGTAAAATGTGCAGAATCAAACCGTAACCACACTATGATAGATAGAGGTAAAGAAAGTTTATTTGTGAAATTTGATCCTTTATATGCAAAGCAATTAATGAAAAATTCGGAACCTTCACATGAAGTTTCACATTTGGAGTCAGTAGATGGTGATATTGGCTATGAAACAGGAAGCAGCACATCAGCTATTACTGATAATAATGTGGTTTCACCGAAACTTTCACTGTCAGCAGGTTCTGTTGTATCAAAATGTACTAAAGATAAACCAACCCAAGTAGTTCCACCTGTAGTGAGTAATGAACTGTCCAAGCCCAGTGTGTCACAAACAAGAACTGCGCCAGTTCTTCTTCGAAGTGTTTCAGCTATTTTGGCACCGACACAAGCAACGGAAAGGCTTATAAACTTTTCTGATAACACTCCTATTGCTGCACCAAGAAGCCCTCGTCAGTGTCGTCAATCAACTTATTCATCTCAGGAAGTGGATAGATTGCAATCGCTTAGAATCATATTACAAAGCCAAGATCAAGAAGTATTACAATTAAGACAAGAGAACAGAGAACTCAAATCTTCACTTCAAGACCTTCAACATAACTTCACACGCACAAATGAGGAGTTAGAAAAGAAAGTTAAGAAACTCACAGAAGAAAGGGACACTTTATTGGAAAGAGAAATAAAATTAATCAAACAGGTTAATGACAAAACAATAAGTCATAAACAAATGTGCATAGTTATGGAGGAGTATGAAAAAACAATATCATCATTAATTGGTGAACAACAAAAAGAGAAACTGTTTTCTCAAGAATTGTATGACAAATTAACTTTGGAAAGAGATGAAGCTCTCAAACATCTGTCCAGTATGGAGAGCTCCTTTAATGATTTACTAGCGAAATATGAGAAATGTAAGAGTGTTATTATGGAGTCTAGAGACAAAGAAAAGATTCTTAATAACAAAATTAATGAATATGAAACAGGAATGCAAAAGTATGAAGCCTTATATAACAATCTTAAGCAAGTAACCTCTGATAATCTTGAAAAGGCTAATGAAGAACTGGAAAATGTAAAAAAATCTCATAGTGTTGATATAACTAAGCTGAATGCAATTATTAAGAAGCATGAAATCATGATCTCCTCCTTGCAAGAGTCACTGGCTCAAAAGACGAGGGATAATGAGGAATTGACCCGTATTTGTGATCAACTTATTAATGAAGTGCGTTAGTTATGTTCTTGAAAATTATTGCGGCACATATTTTATGCTTGTTTCATTGTAGTTTTTGCAAACTTTATTGTAATTAGGTCTATGTTATAAAAAATTTGGAAAGTTTTGTGTTATGTTTTGTTAAAAATTGCTTGCCATAATTTTCTGATATTATTTTTTCATACATTTCATCTCCGTCCTAACATTGAGGAATTTTGTTAGATCCAAGATTCCCAAGACTAATTCTTAGGTTTTGTTTTTTGATAATTCAAATTAACTTGATTTATATAGAATCTCGTTTTAATAAGTAATAATGTTTAAAAGTATTAAGTATTTGTAGTGACTCCATTTAATGACATTTTAATTATTAATATTTGAGACAACAATATACTTAAGTTACAAATATTGTTTTATTTCCCTTTACACCTAACATATAAAATGAGTTACTGATCTTCACCAATTAACAACCTATTGTATTCCTAGCTTTTGAAACCAACATATTAAACAGGTACTTTCTAACAATAATAAAATCCAATTGGTGCCATTGAAAGTATACTACAATATTAGCAAAAGATATACCTTTCATCAAATAGGAACAGTTTTTTCAAGTTGCATTGTTTGCATTTCAGGTGAGACAGATTTATTATGGTGCTTCAATGGTACAAATGAATTAGATAAATTTGTTACAACATCTGATAGTGATCATAATGAGGGTTACAGTTCCTGTGCTTTTGATATGAGCCCAGCTGGACGAGGTTTGTTCCACGGATACCTCGATACCAGAATACCGAAAGATGGACGTGTTAAGAAATCAGGTTATTGTGCCATGCGTTCAAAACGAATCAGGGTTAGTGTTTAAAAGATTTTTATAAGAAGTAAAACTATAAACAAGCCAAGATGATGACCCAATTAAATTCAAAATGAGTCCCTAATACTTTACATTCGTGTATGTACTGGGAATAAGATTTGGTTAAAAATATTAAATACCTACTTAAATATTGTCATGTTACGAAAATTCAATTTCTTTCTCCTGTTAATCTCGATCATAAAACAACCCATAATATTATGATGAAACATATTTGCCAAGGAGCGAATAAAATTGTGATAACTTGATATAAAATGATAAATTACTGTATACACTTGGTTATTAGTTAACTACTTTGCACGAAATACAAGCTTTAGCGATCCATTCTCTACTTTGATCATACTAAATGACAACGAAAACATAAGTGTATGCTTGTTTAATTTAAAGTTGCATTGAAAGTCAATAATGTTTTGTACCTATATCTTTAAAAAATGTGACCCACACTCAAAAATATCTACAACATTAAATGATCGATGTTTATAAAATTAATAATGGTATTTTGAAGACTTAATAAATACATATTTATTTCAGAAAGCCTTCAAACGTGAATCTACCTATGACTGGAATCTATACAACACGTTAGTGTTAAAAGTAAGGGGCGACGGTCGGTCTTATTTGTTAAATATTTCATGCGAGGGCTATTACGATATAACGTGGAATGATATATATCATTACGTTTTATACACCAGAGGAGGACCTTATTGGCAAATAGCAAAGGTAATGCTAGTACTTCAGTGGGTACACCTACAACTTGAAAATATTGAAGAAGTTTTGGATTAAATTCGTGGAGAAAATTCGTTAAGAAACATTCGTACTCTAAAATATACCTATTTATTTCATAGTTATGGATTGTACTTTGACTTTTGAGTTGATTAACCACCCGTATTTTTGCAAATAAGGTTTGCTAGTTTGATTAAATATTCTATTCGTTTTTTGTTTTAGATTCCTTTTTCAAAATTTATTTTAGGATCAAAAGGAAGATTACAAGATAAGCAAACAAGAATGAGGCTAGATAGAGTGACACATTTTGGAATATCATGTGGTGACAAAATAAATGGTGTTTTTAATCTCGAAATAGAATACGTTGGTGAGTTTCAAATTGATCATTGTTTATTTAAATTTCACTTACAATGCATTTACTACATAGTCAATTCTATAATATTACGAATTTCTTACAGGCTTAGAATTTGATCCGACCCACGATGAAGAATTTGCTTACGAAATGTATAAGACCGACAAGTATATAGTTGGAGTTTAACTATAATTTATATTAATAAATAGATAAGTAATTTATGTATTTTATTATTTCAATGTCCTCACTGATAATATATGTCCTTTAAATCCCTATAGTTATCCCGAAATAAAGAAATACATGATAAACAATTTTTTAAAATAAATGCATCAATTCAATCTAAATTTCAAAGTAGGTTAATGCTAAATAGATATCAAGTTTATAATGGTGTATAATTATATGTGAATGCTAAATTTCAAATAATTATTTCTTCCGTTTGTATTTTCATGTAGTAGTTAACAACTGACTTATTCATTACTTAAGCTTCTTATTCAATCCTTTAACATTTTTTATTTATATTGCTACAATATTTAATAAGACAAAATAATACAAATGATCTTAACGAATATTTCTCTATCATTTGTCAACTTACTATATTCATATTATGTATATTCACCAAAGATTTTGAAAGTCGAACCCATTAGAAACTAAAATAAGCAGTCCTATTAAAAAATAAACTGTAATAAAAACTTTTAAAATATTTTTGAATCTATTATTTTAAAATATATTAAAGCAGTAATATAATATGCATATATTTGTAATGTGTTTTAAAAATGAAATGTCTTGTCTATGATCATGCGAGAGCTAAGGTTTATTCATAGTTGCTTTTTAATGGGAACGTTTAAAAACTTTGTTATAGAAATTAAATTAATATTTCGTCACTTAGGTATACAAATTATAATGTAGCTAAATAACTCATAAATATTGAAACAATGTTGTCTGTGAATCACAACTCCTTATATAACCTGTGGAAAAACTGATGTCATCCATCCGTCGACCATTAAATGAAAAATCTGTCTGATCTCAAATGAAAATATTTAAAAAATAGTGATTTTGTGTCGTGCTAAAAAACGCGATAATATTACACAGTAATATATTCTTAAGCAATTTTAGTGATACTCATAACTTGAATAGTGAAATAATTTTATTTACTGTTCTATGCGTGGGATGTTGTTAATTGTTTAGTAATTTTCCAAAAAAATCACCAATTTCAGTACGTATTACTTAGTTTGATTATTTGATTAAGTAACTTAAGTAAATTTATAAGGTTTTTTATTTAAATTGGTGCATGCCGAAACAATGGCATTGTCCTTGGTTATTTATTTCTTTTACTGATTTTAGGTAACCATGTCCGTGGAAATAAGCTAAACGTTACATGCTTATTGAAAAAAGTGCTGTTAGCATTCTCGTGTAGATTGTGTAAAGTACCATGTCAGGTACAGAGCAAATAGTGAACTCTATACAACAGTTATCTGTGCAGCCAAGTAATAGTGGCCACACTGAAAAACCGACGCAGGTAGTCACTCCTGCGGTCAACAGGAGTCAGGCATCTGCAACGAAAGTCACTCCTGTTAAGTCAAGTACTGTTTCACCGGCTATTGCAACTATCGACAGACTTCTTAGTTTGGGTGCTACTCCACCCCCACCTCCTGTCATTACAAGAACATCAGACATGGATCCCCACACAGTTGAACAGTTACGAGCCGTCAAAGAAATGTTGACTGCTCAAGAAGAGGAAGCTCAAAGTCTTAGAGACCTTAATCGAGACCTCCGTGAAAGATTGGAAGAATGCGAATCCAAAATCAAGAAACTGACTGAACAAAATGAGGAATACTCTGAAAAGGAGAAAGCATTATCTCAACGTGTTGCAGAGAAAGTCAGAAATAATAAACAGATGAGTGTAGTGATGGAAGAATATGAGCGTACTATATCATCATTGATCGGAGAGAGGGAAACTGAGGCTAAGAGATGGACCGAGGAACGCGCAACACTATTAAGAGAAAGGGACGAAGCTGCTGCACACTTGGCATCCATGGAACATGCATTCAATGATGTTCACACAAAATATGAAAGATGTAAAGTTATCATTCAAGGATACAAAACCAATGAGGAAACTTTAAAGAGAACCGTCGAAGAAAATAATGATGCTATTCAAAAACTGGAGGGTAGATATGAAACACTGAGACAGCATGCCATGCAACAGCTCAACAAAGCTAATGCTGAATTAGACACAGTGAAGAAGACTCATCAAGCTGAAATATTGAAATTGAATGCCATGCTCAAAAAGAGTGAGGTCCACGCCTCTTCCTTACAAGAATCTTTAGTGCAGAAAATTAAAGATAACGAAGAGCTTACAGCAATATGTGATGAGCTTATTAATAAAGTGGGTTAATTCATCTTACATTCATCAAACTCATTGACCATACTCATAATCATTTATAACTAACATTAATCGTAACAACATAGAGTACACTAATCGTAACAAAATACTTAAGCAAGTGCTGTTACCATTTTATATAAAAATTACATTGTATGTAATGTATTTAATATTATGTGCAATCCTAAATATCAGTTTTTATTTTTGTACAACATGCTATATGATTTATTATTAAGTTTTAATATCTTATGACATTTTTATTCTTTATAAAAATATAATTTTGTGTCATATCCAAAACAACACCTGGTGCTTAGCAAATAAGCCATTAGTAACTGCTTAACGAAACACTGTGCAATAGTGGCTATTGTAACCCTGGCAATTGATTAGATTTGTGCCCATAAGAATGCTTCAATTTAAGAACAATTTAGAGCAATAATACATTTGATTACACTCTCAAACCCACATCAGACAGAACACTTAGTAAGATTTAAATGTTTTTAATGCTAGCTGCCATAAGTAATTAATTTAAAGAAAATTTTTAATATATATATATATTAATAAGAATAATTTGTTATATTTGTGCTTTCTAAATATTAACATTATTAATTATTATTACAATATTGTGTTACATTAAGTATAAGTTTCTTATCATATAAGTGTGTAATAGTTTAATCAGGCTCTAAATTTTTGCTTGTTTTGTTGATCTAGTCTTTATAAAATTTTCAGAATTGTTATGTTATTCTGCTTATTTGCTATGGTCGAGATTATAGTATTGTAACTATAAAATAATATTTAAAGGGTGTTTAGTGAAACGAGTGTGAGTGGACTTATTCTCATAATTATAGTAACTTTTCTCAAGCCCGGCTCTGTAGTAAACAAGATTTTTGTTCCTATAATCAATGAAAAGGTAAATTTTCATGATCACTATTCAGGATTCAATTAAAGTAAGCTAGTTTTGGTTGTATAGTGTGCCTTGATGAGAATTATCTGACCATCCACTCAGTCCAAAGTAATAAAACTACTAATAATTTCAATAAAAATTAGGATTAGAACTAATGTCCAATACCTAGTTAATAGTGAACACTGCAAAAGTATTACAGCTAGTAATATTATGGCACTATTGTTGATTTAACAGGAATGAAAGATAAAAGAATAATTGGCAATATAATAACTTTGTTTTTGTAACTTAACATATACCAACATTCCACATTATTATTTTTGTAATAATTTACGAATTAAAAAATGTTTCGCCTATATTTTACAAGCTCCTCTTTGATTCAAATCCCTCAGTACATGTAATCGTCTTAGTTATCTATCAAAATTTTTGCTTTAAAATTTGTTTAAATTAGTCCATAAGTATAATTTTGTACTTTATAATATTTTTTATAATATGAGTATTTAATGCATCATGTGCAAGTTATTCATGTGAATAGAATGAGGAAATAAAATTATCCCTATTTTATACATATTGAGCTTTTATTTCATAATCCATATTAAACTGTTAACATTACATAATATACTTACTTTGAATAACACCTAAATTATTCAACAATTTTTGATATAGGAAGACTGTACAAAAATGCTTATTAAACTCATAACTTTTTCTTTAAGACTTTGTAAGTATCCTTACTGACTAGATAACTAATTGCTGATACAATAGTAGAAGCAGCTGTTATTCCACAAAGAGCTTGAAGCGCTGGATGGTCGACATATCCAAAAACAGGTGATGCCAATGTTGTTCCTACCTGAGAATAGATATTTTTTTTGTAAAAAAAACACATAATAAATTACTATAAACATGTTACCTTTCTGTTTACATAATAAGAGTGAGAAAATTAAATTAAAATCGTATAGATATGTAATTCATGTAATATAACAAGAGATCCAAAACAAAATGTTATTACAATAATCATTAATAGAGGTTGACTCTTACAAGCAAAAGTTGAACAGCTGTATTGAGTTTGCTAATGAATGTAGGCGCTAATTGGGCAGTCGCATGTGTGGCGTCAAAATATCGACTCAGTGTTTTCTGTAACAATACATTAGTTGTTCAATTAGTATGCAAGCAAATTAACTAGGTCATCTAGAGTTATGTCATTCAGTAAAACTGTATAAGTGCATATAATTTTAAGCATACGTAAACTTACTGGCGGAGGTAAACTTATATATCTGATGACAAATCCGGCCGCAACCAGTGCTGCGTCGCGAGCTACTATCAGAAGTGTTAAATAAAGTGGTATCAATTCTTGCCATGTAAGACTTATGAAGAGAGTTGCTATCAATACTTTATCTGCCATTGGGTCAAGAAAAGATCCCATTTTAGATGACTGACCTTCCCAATTCCGAGCTATGTAACCATCAAGCTGAAACAATACATAAGTTATAAACAACACAATTTAATATTAATAGCGTTTAAATCTCATGGAAGTCATATAAAAATAATGTCAGTAACAAATAATACTTAATACTGGCTAATTAGTTAGATTTGTAACTTTTACACAAGTTTGTTTAGTCACACTGCAAAAGTGTTTGAAATTTTTCATTTGTAAAACTTAGATTCATTCTTCAAACGTTTATGACTAGAAAACTGGAAAAAGGTAGTAGTGATGAAACATTACCAACTTGCAACAAGGGAACTTGGTTTGTATGGATCAAGCAAGTTATAAATGCATGCTTAGTTTGTTGCTTTTTAAAACCATGTAAATCAAATATTTAAGTTTATTTATGGTATGTGTGAAGGTTTGTTAAGTAAACGGATACCTTTTAATATTACCTTTATTAATAAAATATTTTATATATTACTGGTTTCCTTAATAATCATTATTAAAATAAATAATGGATACAAATAAGAGAAGTTCATAAAATTATAAATAAGGTGTTAGAAACATAAATAAATAAATATTTATATTTGAGATACAGAAGAGAAAGAGGATAGATCTGGAAAAAAATAACTGTTTCTTACCAAATCTGTAAAACCTGCAAAAACAAGTAATCCTAGAGCCAAGTTATAATTATCTTGCAGAATTACATATCCCAAATAGGGAGACATTGCTATCCTAGCAACACATAAAACGTTTGGAATTGTGAATATGTTTTCTCTCTGCAACATGAGTATGAGTTAGACAATAAAAACTGTGGTCTTAAAACAGTAATTCAATATTGTTATTTTACATACTTCTACAACTCCTTCAATTTTTTCTCTAACTTTTGCTTTCGTCTCTAATATATCTTTTACCAAATGATCTTTTTTTATTTTTAACATCTGCCCTGTGACTTCTTTCTGATGTCTGAAGTCCTTAACCAATTCTTCACCTTTCTGTCTAATTTTTTGTTCGGTATCCTTAATTTGTACTTTTTTTTGTTCGAATACATTTTTGATTGACTCTGCCTTCTTTTCTATTTCTAATAAATGCTTCTTACTATCTGATGAATAAAGACATACAATAGAAGAAAGTTTTATCGGTATTTTATCTATTTGCCGCCTTGTCAAATCGTTTTGAACAGTAAATCTACTTGATTGTACGATTTGATTATTACATATTCGTATCGTTTTAAATTGGTTAAACAATTTTAAGGTACTAAACCTCATATTTCTTACAAGATAGTATGAAGTTTAAATATTGCAATCTTATTTTAAACGTTTATAACTTTCTTATACATATTACAAAACTTAACCAAAATAAATAATTGACACTTGATACTTCATAATATGAAGTTCACAGCCAATTCTGACGTCTGATAAATGACATGGACAAATTGTCTTTGTGCGGAAACAAAGTTTTCCTAAACCTGTAAATTACTACTTATAATAAATTTCAGACATAATATATTAAAACCTTTCAAATTAATTTCTATATATAATTTATTTCAGATATGTCATAATCATGTGAGACATTTTTTACTTATTATTTATTAAGTTTTAGGACAACTTGTATCTATATGGTTTAGCTACTGACATAAGATATAAAATGTCATATAAAGATTCATGATATATTATTTTGTTTACCTACTTCAAAACATATTAATAAATAAAAGCAATGTTTGTATTGAATTGGAATATAAATTAAGAAAAGTGCTGTAGGTACTCAATCAAGTTTTCGTATTTCAAATGTAAGGTAAACATCAGATCAAATATTATTGACATTCAATATTGTTCCCATAATAAAAATGATTACACATCGAAATAGTATTTCATATAAAAAGTACAGACTGCACTGATTACATCGTTCTGCATAAAAAATTGGGATTAATCAATATTATATGCTATTTAAACATATGATATATATGTTTACGTGTCTTTAAAAAGATTTTGGCAAGAATTATGACGATATAATGTTTAATATTATTCTTGATTCTTTGTTATAATGTGTATATATTTGTATTCTTAATTTTTTGTTATATTTTGTACAGAAAAATACACGTTATTAGTAAATTTTAAATTTGTAAGCATTTTGTAAAATAATAGAGTAAAATTTTAATTGAAACATCTAATTAATAATTTTATTTAAAGAATATTGACTGATAAAGATAACTAAGGTCTTTAATTTATAGTTAATTAATACCATGTATTAAAAATATATGTACTTTTAGCTATAAGAAAATCTAAAATGAAGAAAGAGGAGCTGCAATATACTCTTCGTCTATTAGATAATCTGACAGTGGAATTGTTTGAGGTGAGTATTTATATATTTTTTATGGAATATATTATATTACTATACATATATTGAAGTTTTTAAGTTTTATGGAGAATGATGTTTAAATAAATATTTAATGGAATTTTCATATTTTGTGTACCTATTCCATTAACAATATATATTAATATATCTATTTGACTGCACAGGAACTCGTTGAAGCATTGTATACAGAAGATTCTAAACCAACAACAAAATTATCTGAAAGAGTTATTGAATTTTTTAGAAATAATTTAAAATCAAATCCAGTCACAACATCATTGATTCTAAATCACATACAAACTACCACAGACGATGACAAAAATGTTGGTGCAATTCAGAAACTCTACTTAGAGGCTCTGAATAATGAACTAGGAAATAACTGTCCTGATAAAGTTATAACAATATTGTCATTAGCGAAGTGGCATGAAAACTTTTTACCTCAGTTGATAAACGAAGTGCTAAAACACTTTTCTAACGATGTATTCAGACAATGTAAGAAACAAGTATTGATTAGTCTTGTCGCTCTTCGGAGACCAGAACTCGTCAATATTGTATCAGATTTGATGCATCGGAATGAACCCCAAAAAAATTTTAAGCTGACAGCTGAATATATGATTGAGTTGTGCTATCAAGAGAAAACACACTGGCTGTTAAAAGCTGCTCAAGTTTATAAACAACAACTGCATGATATGAAGAATGTTACCTTCGAGATAAATAATTTTACTAAGCAAATACTCATTATGGTGCTTATTGATCTCACGAATTGCCCTGAGACCTACGACCTCCCGTCATTGGTCAACCAACTTACTAATATATTCTCTATTCTGGATACCTACACGACAACTGATCGTGAACTCATGTTTTATTTAACAGAGATTAAGAGAGAATTAACCATTATCAAATTCTGTCTTGAAAATAATTGTAAGATAATGAGCACTTCAATATTCAGCCAGGTTTTGGGGAAAAGCGCCCTAACTGTGATATCGCAAGTCTGCAGGCTGTCGAAGGTAGATAGATATAAAGTATCAAAGCTTTTAAATACAAACAATGAATTCATATCCGAATTGATATCATTGAATCACAAAGGCGGATTTAATAAAAATATACAAATATCGAATTGGGATATTTCAACTTATAATAGTTACTGTGCTATAACGAAGGTAATAGAAACTATATTGCAGTCGTCTGAAAATGTGGACAATACGCAGGAGATGGGCACATCTTTGGATGACATCAAACGGCTCGTCTTATCAATCCAGCCCATACAATTTTGCGTTGAAATCATAGAAACTATATTCGCTTGTTTGTTCCTGAGATACGAATATTTCTCTTGCTACGAACACAATCAGGACTTCCCATGCGGGACTCATTCTGAATGTTCCTATTTTTATTCCAAAAAGCAAAATAAAAGTCCAAAAACCACCAACAGTTCTGACACGGGGTTCATTTGTAATGCGTTTACCACACAAATTATATTGAACACACTCAAACAGTGCCTTGAAAGTTTGGATGAGAGGTGGGATGTAAAAAAAATTGACAACGCCTCGTCTGTTTATTCACGATACAAACGCTTGATAGATGTAGTTAATCATTCAATATGGAAGATGCAATTGGTCTCAACTCTCAGTCCGGATACCAGTCCACTTCAGCTGAAATTGTGTCTGGATTACGTAGAAGTTGACAATAGTAGTGAAGATGACGACTTACAAGTTGAACAGAAGATATCTAGGAGAAAACCAAAAATGAGGAGAAGACATACAAATCCAAGATCTGAAAACGGTCAAATTATGCTGTCATCTACTATTTCGGCTTCTGAAGATGGTACGATATAAATATATGAGCTTTTTCTCGTATATCTGTATTAATATACAGAAATTGTTTTTTTTTTCTCAGCTTACACGTCGAAGAAGAACACGATAGACTTCATATCTATTATGCTTGCCAAGCCCAATTGTCTCGTCGCATTGGCCCTGTACCAAAACGATTTCTCCAAAGCCAACCAAATTTTAGAGGTATGTAGTTGTATTTATTCGATTTTCAATACGATTTTTATCAAAATCTTCCATATTCTATTTTCTGAGATTTATTAAGCCGAAATCTTAATACAGCTCGAAAATTTGCTTAATGCAGAACTTCTATAAAACGAGATACAAACACAAATAAAGTTAATTACTTATAAAATAAGTAGGGTTTGTGATGGCTAGGATAATTTAATCTTTATATATTATATTATTAAAAAATCTTTTATTTTATTTTAATACTCAAATAATGGTGTGCTAAATTCTACCACTAAGCTTTACGTTTACTACAATTTTTATATAATTTTGTAACTACATAATCCCGAGATTTCGGTTCCTTTACAGCCACCGTGATTACGGCCAGACGGAATGTTATAGTAACAAAATAAGAAAAAAAATCAGTATCCCCAAAAAAAATTCATTTCAATGAGTACACGCGAAAATCGTACATATCATTATGCCAAATTCTAATAAATAGTTCTAATTAGATGTCCAAATTTTTCATAACAATCCTTTTCGTATATCGTCGGCTCATAGTATATTATCTTTCCCCGTTCGTCGATCAAGACTCCCGGTGGATTCAGCGCTAGATATTTCCTCGCTTCTTCTACAGTTTCATTCGGTTTAAAAAATTTGCAGAAACAACAGCAACAACACCAACCTAGGATAATAAATCTTTAATTATTCTTATTATTTATAGCTTTATAGATTAATCCTCGTTTAGACTTTCATTATTGATTTATTTACGAAAACTTATCACCGCTAGTTTATCGTCCATTATGTTGTCATAAATTCCTAAGCCGATTTCAATAAAATTTTATGGCATAATGATAGTTTAATTTGAGCAAAAACTAGTTCTGATCATAATTACCTCTTGTAAACCAAAGCGGTACAGCTGCCAATACGTATATGCATAACCAAATCTGGATAACAGTTTTCAGCCGTTTGAATATAACACGGGTCGGTTGATTTGGATTTGAAAGATTTTTTATCAAACATACTATTGACTTCAGATTTATATGATTCATGTCCTCGTTGGTACATTCTTTATTTTTTATGTCGTATATAATATTTTTAATATAATCTTTGACCTCTGCAAACAAACTAATATATTAACCTAGAATACGTGAGGTAAACATACCAATTAGCTACTGATGCTGTTTAAATTTATGACGTATATTAAATAAACATATCGTATTATAAACATAATTACCGATAAGTTATTAGATGCAATGTAATATGCACTTATAAGCAACGAAGAAATTCTATTTTCATATAATATTTACCTTCATTTTGTGATCTTTCGTCTGTTATATTAAACCCTTCAATTTCTTCTCGGGAATTATAATCATTGAGTAAAATTTCATAGTCATAGTGTGTATCAGCATTCACTATGAGATCGGTTGTCTTTAAAAACAAAGTATTCTTGTTTTAAAACATTTATTTCAATATCATATCTTTATAGCAAAATTGCATCGAAATTCGTATTGATATAAGGTCAATGACATTGAACAAAACATTCACATCTGGATACGAGATATCAAAACATAATCTTTTATATTCCATTGCCTTTTATAGTCATGAAATATTACTATTAATAATAAATTTAAATTATTATACATATTTAAATACAGACGGTACTAAAATCAGATATAAACTCCTAATTATAATTCCATGTAACCTACCGAGGTTTGTATGAATAATGTATTTGTGAAGGGTAAAATCGTTGCAAGAAAAATCTTTAACATTATTTATTCCTTTTTCATTTAATGTTAAATAACATATTTAATGTCAAATAATATATTATATTAATATAATATATAAGTCATTCACATTCGTCATTGACATTTTTAAAAATATATGAAAATTGAAAAAGTATTTATTTAGTATATAATTTGTGAATGAAGTTTTTATGTACATATACTTTTTTCCAGATGTTTGATTTGTCTGATTCGGAGATTGCAACGGAAGTTACGTTTACCGAGCAGCTGAGACATTTAATAGCTAAGATCAAAAATATTATATGCTATAGAGATTGCTCGCGATATCCAACAAAGGAATTGTCAGCTTTATCAGTAGTATCTACGGAGGTGATGGGTTTGGTTGAAGGTTTCTTGGCTTCTAATAGACCACCAAATTCTTTTGACATCATTGAGCTTGGTGCTCGCCATCCACATTTGCAGCTGTACAGCCATCAAAACGCTCCCTTTATAAACGCCGTCGACATTCTTTTGAGCAGTGGCTTAAATAGAGAAATTACCTACGGTCTAATCAATGTGGTGGAAAGAAAGCTTGCGGAGGTCAAACGTAATACAGATGTCACGGCCGTTAAGAAAAGCAATTATATAAAATTTGTAGAAGACATAACAAGTGTAACATTTGAAATTTTCGGTAATACAGATAAATCTTTTGATTTCATAGACAATGTTTGCGAATTAATAACAGATTGCAGAGTACCTATTAAACACAAAGAGTTCTGTAAGCTGAATCAGTTATCCAAAGAATTGAAACAGTGCTGTTTAGATTTGTCGGATATTGTTTGTCCTAAAGAATCCAAGAAATTAGATGAAAACTTTCTACAAAAATATCACCAAATCTATATGAATGTTGTTGCGGCGTCTGATAAAGATTTGTATAATATTGGAGACTTATGTCAAAATGGAAACAAGAAAGCAAGAGTGCATTATTTAAGGAAATGTTATATGTACACAAAATCCATTTTTCAACTAGAACAAGATGATCGAGTTGGCGAGGCAGCTACTGATGCACCATATTTTACGATTTTAGAACGACAGTTACATGACATATTTGGGAGTATGATAAATAGTAAGGAAATACCGATAACGTTTTTGGAGCCGATATGTAAAAAGTTAAATGTGAATTTAATTCCTAAATTGATTCTTAATTTTTGTCCATCAATAACATTGGCGGGCTCCTTGAAGGAAGCTACAGAAGAAAACTTTAATAATCTCCTTCATGTAGTGTACGATTTCATGAATCCAGAAGAGAAGTTATTTGTTGAACCGACAGCAAATTTCGCTCCTCTACCAAGAACTCCAGATCCGCAATGTCTTACTTACGTCGTCTTACATAATTGGGTGTTGGCGCATATCATAAGAAAAATTCATTCTACGTCAAATGAAAGCACTGCACAGAATAGTATGGACGCTCGTACCAAACACCTGAATAAATACATGGATTTAGAGAGATTCGATTGCACCAAGGTTTTGTTCGGTAGAAACAAATGTCTTGCCTCTTTGCACAGTACCATTGATTTGGACAAGTTATTTTTATTCCTTCCAAAAATGTTAGAAGCTGGAAAAATATGGCAGTGTCTGAAAATTATTGATGCATTATCAGAAAGACAAGTGAAATGCAGCGCGAATTTGATAAACTTGCGTGATTTGATGTTGTGTAAAATTTCTACAAATTCTAAAGTGCAGCAAAATTGGAAGTATTGTCAGTATCTAAAATGTCCAGAACTTAAATTAGACTTAATATTAAACAACTTATCGTGTTGGAATGCTGAAGGAGCTATGGAAGTTATTGATTATCTACGATTTATATTGGACCAAACAGCAATCGAAGAAGGCCTTTATGACAAATGTACCGACTGGCTGATAAAAATACCTCTTTATGAACAGGTAAATTTTTAATTTTGTGTAATTGTGAGCAGGTCATACGAATAAAAATTGATTTATTTTTGTTTTAGATTGCATCCATAATGGGATCTCACCATTGGTATACGATTTATGAGAAATCGTTGGAAAACCCCGAAGCTATTATCGAAGTCCTGATGGATAGCCAACAGGTGAACATTACACTTAAATAGTTTATTGACTGATTTTAAACGATGATAATAATAGTTTCTTTGTTGATTTTCAGTTCAAATTATGTTTGGAATGGGCAGATGTACACGATGTTTCAGATTATATGAAGAACTTAATAGTTGTCCATCTCATTCGACAATTATTTGAATACACTAACCAAGCGACACCATCATATGTTCGTGAACTAATCGAAAGGCTACCAACAACACAAGCTATAGAGTTAGTCGTAGAAGAAATAACTAAAATAAGAAACATTGAAATTCTTGAAGTCTGCTACGACTTTTTAAACGAACACAAAACGACCTGGAGATGTTTCGAAAATATACGAGTAGGTTTTCAAGTGATTCGTGAAATAGAACCTAACACGCGACATCTTTTTTGGGATCTGTTAGAAAAACCTCTACTAATGATTGAACAACTCCTGATGAACGCTAAATTGGAGTTACTGACTGTAATCATAAACAAAATATCGCCAACCCTGCGAAGGAATGATTCCACTGGGGATAATTTATATTATAATATAAAATCTATAGAATCAGTCTTGATATCGCAGAACGCTGTTGATGCATTGCTACGTTATTACGCAGAAAAAGCATTAGACATGAGAAATCCTAGAAATAGATGTTCATCACCACCAAAACCGTGGGACGACTCGTTGTTGGAATCGATAGACTCGATTAATATCGAATCTGCATCGAAACCGTTCGTGATGCCAGAGCACGTCCCTAATAAGAAACAGTGGGTGGAAGATTATTCCACGGATCGCTGTATGATGTGTAAAATATCGATATTTTCAATGATCATACGTAGACATCACTGTCGTCGTTGCGGCCGGCTGGTTTGTCACGGGTGCTCTAGAAATAGAATGCAGGTAAATTAAAATTTAACTTTTCTATCCAAACATTTTAATATTCATTATAAAGTAACAACATTAAAGCATAATATGTTATTGTACTTATTATTCGCTGTCACAGTTAAAAAAAAACAAAAATACTTGGATAAAATTAAAACGAATTTCTTCCTTTATGAACTAAATAACGAATTACACAAGGGTCAATTTATGTGTATTAATTTTTATAACAATTTTAGGTACCAACGTATCCCAGTGGTGTAAAATTACGTGTCTGCGACGATTGTTACACTCAAACTATGAACAAACGGTCCGAGTCTAATCAGGATATGATGCTAAGCAGTAATTCTGATACAGCGGGCAGTGGGACCACTTGTTTGGATTGGTGCTTATCCATAGACGCCGCCAAAAACGAGGCCGTCAGAGCCGAATTCAGTTACGAGTTCACACCGAACGTTACACTTTGCTTATCAATTATGAAGATGCACACCATCAATTTGGACTATCCCAGGTAAAATGCAGAATGAAGTTAGTTAGATAACTAATCTTTATATAGATAATTCTTCTGTGAGTGTGTATGTCACTGAACTTCTCTTAAACGACTGGACCGATTTTGATGAAATTTTTTGTGTGTGTTCAAGGGGATCTGGCAATGGTTTAGATTCACAATTTTTTCCGCTGGACAATGTTTTTTTAATTGTGTCACCAAAAAAACTTTTTATTTATTATGGTTTTTTTTGAACTCTTAATAGTAATGTATTGTTATGTTTTTTCAGGTTTTTACTAGATCGTAGTGACGAGGCCGCTCGTTCTCTGTCCCGCGGTGATTCCAGACTATTAGTTCGCGCACGGCGGTCTTTATTATTGGCAGCTGCTGAGTTATACTCTAGAACTACTGGAGACAGGAGGTAAATAATATATATATATAAAATTATGTTATATATTAGCTTGTTAGACAGGCTTCGTGAACTAATAAATTTTTGAAAAATTTAAATGTAATGTTTCGTCGATATGATTGTGTTGTTGTCATCAAGCGTCTTAATATATGAATCTCTCAAAGATTCATGAATAAAAAGTGTTATTAATTAACGATTTTTTTAATAAAATGCATATAAATTTTTAAAAATTAATCAATAAAATTAACATTTTAAGACACTAAAATCAGTGTTTGTCATTAACATAAATGTTTATAATGTTCTTTCTTCTTATCATCAAACTATTCGCATCCATCTCAGCATAGTTTTATATCAAATGTTAGAAATTAACCGGCATCCAGATTTAAAATCAGTTAATTTATCAAATGAATTTATATTTTATGGAAAAAAGCAGAACTAATTATATTTTTGTTAAAACATCATAACCGTAAAAATTTACAATATTTTTCATGGTGGGAAACTAATTATTATCCATAACTAATTATCCATTCCGATATATTTATATATCGAGGTACACACAGGCACATCTATACGTACATATAAATAAAAAATTGAGTGCCTGCTTGTAATATTGAAATAACCGTTTTACTACATTTATAGGACTATATGTAAATACGATATATACACCAAAACAACATTTTAACAATATTTATTCCTCTCTCAGTTTGTATGTTCCGGCTAATTTATGAACTGATTTTTACGTAATTTTTTTGGCAGTTACCTGAAGTAATAAAGAATAACTCATGATTCTTTTTATCCTGCTCCTAAATCCCGAAATTAACCGTTGTCATGGTCGAGTAGAAAACATAATGTCTTTGAAAGTTTTTCATTTTTTTTTACGCCGACGGAGTCTCGGGTAACAGCTATTATAATAACTTTATTGTAAACCATGTACATCTAAAATATAGCTATAATCTTGTACATATGTATATAAATATGTTTAATTCTGTCTGTTTTAGCGGCGGTGTGTGCGAGGCGGGCGCGTGTCATGCAGCTCGTTGTTTGGCTCACGCGGACGCCATGGCGGCGCTAGTGTCGCAACAAGCTCACCACCTCGTTACAAATAACGCGGCACATCCTAGTATGTACACTTGAATAAACATTTATGACAACGCCAGACGGAAAAAAAAGTATAATTTTGGCATTAATATAGATTTTTTAGAAAAATTGTTGTACAATTTACAGTAACCAGAATCTCGCTTTATATTTTTTACTGCAGGGATTACAGTGTGATTTAACAAATTCTGAAGTAGCTCTTAATTTGTACTAGCCCATATCATAGAACTTGACTATCAAGACATAGTCAACTACTTCTCTTTTTTTAAATAATTCGGCGTATTATTATTATGTGTTCAGAAATGTTGAATAGTTTATTGCATTAACTGAATGTTGGCATTATATTCAATTCAAAACATTTTCAGGTCAAATAGTTCGCTCGCTTCTCGAGTCAGAGAAATGGGAATTGGCGTTAGAAATAGCGACGAAATCTGGTATACCAAGGACAAGTGTGCTAGCAGCCTGGGGCAAAGCCTGTTTGAAGGCGGGATGCTTTAAAGAGGCTCGCAGAAAATTTGCCCTCTGTTTTAAGAACGCTCCAAATGTGTGTGTTGATGTTACTGAAGAGTTAGAATATGGGAAAGAGGCGTCAGAAAATCTTATTAACAGAAGGGTTCAAAGTATGAGAATATCTGAAAGATCCAATTCAATGTCCAGTACTCAGTCTGAATATAGGTGTCGCAGTAACCCACTGCTGAACGAAATAATATCTATGTTAGAGGATATGAACTACCCAGTCAATCAACAGCTGTTGGATAAGGCGGAAAATATTAAAGTTAGTTAAGAATATATTTAAAAATGGAGAAATTAATATTTAAATATTTTTACTATGAAAGTAATCTCTTTATGATATATATTTTTTTGTGACTGTGAATGCATCATAGCATATGTATGAGCGTATTAGTCTCGTTAAAGTACAATTTATAAAACATTTGAAATTTTTGCACAAATATTAATAACTTTTACTGACTTAAAATTTTAACATCATTCCAGACGACCAACGAAAAGTTATCCAACATGAATACTAGGAAGAAGAAAATACCACTCACAGAACCGGCATTGAATATAATGCATACTTTAGCGAGTGTCAAGAAAATTAAACAAGGAGACTACAGCGATTTCCAAACAGCCACAGTCCAACCAAAAAAATCATTGGCCCAAGGACTTTTACGAAGAAATAACAATCCAGAGCCAAAAGTCGACTACCAAAACAAGAAACTTGATCCATTCTTCTACAAAGAGTGCGTATATTACCTTAGCAGCTACGGCTCGTTCGTCGATAATATTATGTTTTATATGAAACATAGTAATATGAGCGAAGTTATTCGCTACTGTTACGACAATTCAGTTGATAAAGAAACCTTCACTGAATCCGTGTATATGAATTGTTTGAAGAAGAACAAGGTCGATGAACTCGTTAAATCTATGAAGGAAATGGACAGCAGTTTCAATATGTGGTCGGTGAGTCGTTTAGAAATTTATTTAGATTAGTAAAATATATGACTAATATGAAAGTGGCTTTGACTTAAGTTGAACCCAGAAACACTTATCAGTAATCCATTTCAAAGGATTCTAACCACTGTGCAATTTAAAATAATTATATCTATGGACATTAATTAATCTATAAACATTTTTCTGTCAATAGGAGTATATAATGCACATCTGCCGTACGTTGGAGATGTCAAAACGTCTAGAAGCCTTATACGCACTGCAGTGTGGCACGGGTCAACACGCTCGAGCGTCTGCCTCATGCGCACTACTATACTCCCGGCCACTACCAGCCGGCAAAGACCCCTTCAGTGAACTAGTGACCCGTCAGCATCACCTCACGGCGGCCATGCATCATTTGAACCAGTGCATTCCCGTTAACAGTGAGTTAACATCAATTAAATGTTTTAAGTCAGTCAGTGTTTACAGTCAGTGGTGGCCGAGTGGTTAAAAGCCCGCCTGTCGTGCACGAGGGCATAGGTTCGATCCTGGCAAGTATTTTCCGAGTCATATGTACTTTCTAAGAGTATTTAGACACCACTGACATACGGTGAAGAAAAACATCGTGAGGAAACCTGGTCTTATAATTTCATAATTATAAGTTTGAAATCACCAACCCGTCTTGAGCAAGCGTGGTGATTAGTGCTCAAACCTTCTCCATGTGAGAAAGAGGCCTTTGCTCTGCAGTGAGCTCTGATAGTCTGATGACGAAATGTTTTAAACAAGTATTTTAATTATACTCTTACATTATAAGCCAATCGTAAAACTATTTAAGGACAGTTTACCATAAGTAACAGACGTTATTTACTTTTTTCTTTCAATGAAAAATTGGAAAATCTTGCTAACTGTAGTAATTTAATAGTTTTGAATTTAGAAGTATCTTGATTCTAAAAATTTTTTGCATGCTATTTGTTGGAACACCAATGTATTTATCTCCATCCCGCCCTAATAAATAATCCTGAGATTATCGTTCTAATGAACTGAAAAAAACCTACTTGCTAAATATTTTAAACTATTATTTTGGGAATATTATATGTATTTCTTATGAAAATCATGAGTTATTTTTACTTCATGAGCAGTTCAAAGTTTAGTTATTCGGTTCCTTATATTTAATGAACAAAAATCATTTTGATAGCTGAAGATAAAAAATATTGTGCAATGCTTTATATTTATGAAAATTTATTAAATGTAATATTAGTGTTGTTTTGTTTAATATTTCGAATAAGTCCGTTTGTAATATAAGATAAATTTACTTTCAGAAGTGAATGATCAGAAATCTATTCATTTCCATCTCGACAAAGCTACGATAGACAATTTAATGAGCACGATATCCCGACAACTAGAGGTCGCTAAGTATCTAGCGTCTTGCGAGGCCAGTGGAAGTTTGAATAGTAAAGTTATAAATGCCGTGATACCACTCCAGAATGTTCGAAAAAATGATTCTGATCTAAGACCTTTGACTCTATTCGGTTCGAATACAGATAAAATAAGGATTGTTGCTATCGTGCTCGTTTCAGGTCAGACCGTGGAGGTTGGATTCGATTTAGCTTTTAAGTAAGTATCCATATTGATGAGATCCCATATACTATTGCTACAAGTCCAAAAATAACATAATTATTATTAATAATTTGTTTTAGAATAATCTGCGAACACAAATTAGACTCGATGAACATATATACGCATGTCGCCAAGTATTTAGTGAATTCTGATAGGTTCATGGAAGTGAAGAATTTGGCAAAATGTATACGGACCTCTAAGGAGACGGCTGCAAGGTGAGTTAACAGTATTATCAATGTTATTGACCAGGTATTTATTACGTAATAAAAATTGCGTATGATTGAATCAAATTAAAAGTAATGAGCCGTCGTGCAAAAATTGATCACTTCCTAATTATATTTACGTAAAGGAATTTGAATGTATTTTTCCCTTTTGAGCCGTGAGGATAGGAAAGGTAACTGACGGCATAGAGATTAATAAAAACAAAACTTATTCTAAATCGTACAATAATCCAAAAACGTTATAATAATGAGATTGCCATAATACAAAAATTTCAATTAAACAGTCTGAATGCGCAATTCTTATATCCACTAAAGTTAATGGTCAATTATTTGCAATCTTAGTATTACTTTCAAATTTCATTTACGTATATACAAATGGAGAACGAATTGGAATTTTATCGTATATGTAATGGCAACGCTAATATGAAAGATTACAAGCAACACTGAAGGAAGTCTTATTATTGTGTCTCAACTTGTGCGCTTCTTTTATATCCTAAGATGGTTTTATAGTTATAGCTGAATGTTTTCAATATATTTATTGTCCAGTTTAGTCATAGGACCTGAATAAATCAAGGTTAATGTATATGAGATACGTTTTCATAACAAATGTCTTCAAGTAAATACATTTGTTAAGACATAAGATATTTCCTGCGACACCAAAATGGTAATTAAAAGCTGGTCGTATTTAAAGCAAAACTATTGGCACTAAGAAAAATGTTCGTCTTCCCAAATAAGCTATTACTGTAGTAACAAAATGAAAATCGTAAAAGAATCGTATGTCGTTTCTTGGAGAAAAAAAAAATTCTAATTTCAAACTCCGAGTGCTTTATCCATGTTTTTTCAATCATTCGTTTATTTTAGAAAAAGGTTCATTTACTATTGCCAGTCTTGCCAATTCCAATTACGATCTTTTTATAAGCTCATTTCGAATAAAATTTTTATTTGTAGTGTTACTTAAACGTAAATGAAATAAAAATTTCGTTTTCGCTTATTTACTGTAGTAAAGTAAATAGTGAGGCTGACTCTGGCTAAAGCTGGGAAATTGCCAGGAAGAAGAAGAAGAAAGTAAAGAGTTATTTGTCCATAATAGGTTTTTTATACTTATAATATTTATGGAATATTATATATTTCTCAAAGTAACATATTTTCTTTTCTATGTACATATGTGTCTTTAAATACATGTATTTAGACATATAGGCATGTTATTGTATCTTGTAAAGGAATCCAAAGAATGCGGAATCTGATAATGTTTTGTCCATTAAATTTTTGTTTTGCATTATTCATTACGCATATCATTAAGACCATTCAATCAAAAATCGATTTTAAATCCTATTAACCAAATTTTACAGTTATTTTGTAATAATTATACGTAATCATTTTTATTATAATGAATTGTACTAGTGTTAATTATCATATAAAGATATCTTGCATAAAGTAGGTAATTATGTACTTATTAGCTATCGATGTAACGGTTAAAGCTTGAAGTAAGTGAAACAACATGGTCCATGCAGTATCGGAGTCTGAAATTTTGAATTTCACTCTTCCGTAGTAAAACCATTTTTTTTACAGAAATAAACAAATTTTATGTCAATCATTCTCTCGCACTTCAAAACACGGAGATTTAGGGCTTTAATAGGTAAACTCCAAAAATATAAATAAAAAACGTAACAGATGTTTCTTAAATATAGGGCGATACGAAGTTCGCCGGGTCTTCTAGTTTTAAATAAAAATTTGTTTACTCTTTTGTATTCTATCGAACAAATAAATTAAGCTTCAAGCTAATATTGAAAATCATATAAAGTATTCCATGTGATGATTAATTTCAGCCTGATGAGTGACCAAGTATTGGAGGCTGGTACGACAGCTGTGGTCGGTAGATGTGAAGCTCGAGGGCAGTTACACGACGAACAAGCTGAGTTGCTAATAGCTGATATCAATAGTGTCGCTATCAAGGTAATGAATCTTTCAAGAGAAGTATACCTTTAATACCTTTGATTTTCTGAAGTAATCTTAAAAAAGAATGAAATTGTATTCACCTTTTAATTATACTTTACGATAAGTTGCTACTAACTAAATGTTTACTACAATGTAAAAGGTTTTATTAAAAAAAAACAAGTCTTAATGTACCTACTTAAGTGTTTTCAATGGATTACAACAGACTATTTATCTTCCCGCCATTAAAATGCATTATAATTTCTAACATAATCTGTTTTATTGACTAAAAAAATATCGTATTTTTTTTTTGCAACAGATGCTAATTAATATTTTCTTTTCACAGATATCGTGCTATTTGGTGTGTCGCAACGTCAGCAGTGCGTACATATTAGCAGCTAGACACGACAGAATTAACGATTTGCGAAAAGTATTGCAAGAAGCAGAAAGATTATGTAACGAACAAGTCAGGAACGCTTGTCTCAAACGACTTACATCCAAGAATATTCTCACTTAGACTAGTGCCTTAGATAACTGCTTTAAAAGATCTTGATATATGTTGATAAATGTGTTTGAAATTATGTATTCAGCTTATTATTAATAAAAAAATTATGCCAAATTATATGATTGTTTTGTAAGTTTTATATAGACATCGAAGTTATAGAATTGTATATTATCATCAATAAAAAAATGTTCTTTTTTTGTCCACATTATATTTATGCATAATGAATTTAAGTGTAATTATTGTGTCAATGAAATTTATGTTAAACTATTATTTTTATTGTTAATTGAATGTACTGGTCTCCTATGTGATAAATAATTTTAAGAAAATATATAAATGATTATTATAATAAATATATCTTTTGACTGAATTTGTATTTTCTATTTATGCTGAAGAAAACAATTACGGCTTAGAGTTGAAATGGTAAGATTAACTATTTGGAACAGATGCGTAGCCTTTAAAAATAGTAAAAAGTAAAAAATGATATAAGATTAAACCCATTACAAAAGAAGGTGAAAATAATAGAAATAAAGTATTGGCGATTCGAGTTTAGGAAGCAAGAGTGGATGGGTTATTAAGAGTTGAAAATGGTCTATCTCGATTTTCAGCAAATTACAAGTCCTATGGAAAATGTTATAGGTAACTGAAAGGTCTAGAATAAATTTTATATTTACTATTTTTTCAGGTACCTAATCTCAAAATTTATCTGAAAGATTCAAATAACCAAGTTATTGATTTCTTTTTTTTTTAATTTTTAACTACTAAAGTTGTTAAAAAAATATCTTTTCATGTTCTAAACACATTGCAATTTATTTGATTTCAAGTATTTATCTCTTCAAGTCTCAAGTTTTTTCTAACTGTCATTGGGCTTTTTGATTGTTGAAATCTTCTCTGTGATGGAAAAATATATATACAGCTGAAGTAAATAGCAGGTATGTAGTAAGGTACGGACCCTCCTAAGTCCATCCGTAAATCTCATTGTAATACCTTACATTGGGCTAAAATTTTGTAATAGGTCACTCAGGTGTATAAATTATCTTTCATAAATGGGCATCTACATATACTACTTAAAAACATTGTTATTCTAGGCTTTTTACAAAGGAATATATTTTAAAGAAATTATACATTAGAAAACATGTATATGTAAACTTTTTTCAGTTTACTTTTCAATAGTACACTCATGGATTTAAAAACATGAAAAGAACAAATAATATATATAGTTCCAGTATTTATTTCATATGTTCAAAACTTTAATGATAGCTCAGGAGTTTGGACAGATGGTTAGTGACTAAATCACCAGCCATAGGCAAGACTCCAACTCTTCGACCTCATACAGGGAAGAGCACAATTCAATGGGCCTCAACCAATATGCCGGCAAATCAGCAACACATACACATTTCACAAAATGTTTCAGTCTCTGTTGATTGCAAAACTTTAATTTGCTGCTATTGCCTTCTTCTTAGGCTTCTTTAAACGTTTTAGACCGTTTACACTAGTTTTGAGAAGATTAGAGTATGCCATTGTAAATTTCTCGACATCCCGCTGTTCAATAACGGTTGAAATTTTTTTGCTTCCTGATTGAGCTCTAACAAGGCATTTATATTGTGGGTCTTTGACAGGAGGTGTTCCATCTCGAGATATAGGCTTAGTTCTTCCATCATCTGTAGTTTAAACAATGTATATATAAATAATCAGGAAAGAATTTCATTGTAAATCATAAAATAAAAACTTTAGACAGATTGGAGTATTTTACTTACATCTTTTCATAGTCATGGAGATAGAACCTGATGCCCTAGCTTTTTGAAATAACTTTGAAAGTTCAATCAAAAACTGTAAAAGAAGAAGTTTATTTTAAAATATTTAAATTATAAATATGTGCAGCATATAAAATAGGCAGCTAATTTACCTCATCATTTCCTAATAAGACCATGGTTCTACAATGTTGTGTTGAATGCAAGATTTAGTTTTTTCTCCGCAATTGTTACAATAGTTACTCAACAACAGGAAAAGACGACTCGTTATCGGACTGTCATTATCTGACATACATATTAAATGTTTTAGCAATTTCTTTATACATTACTTAAGATAAATCGTTACGAGTCTCGACTCACGGTACACGTTGCCGACACTATGACGTTTAACTTTTGGCTTGTCAAATATTCCATAACCATAACGTTCAGAAATACTTTCTTATATTTTACAAATAAATTCATTAAATTATTATTATTTAATTTCTTTACTTAAGCTATACATAACATAATAACAATAAAAAAAAACCTTATTGATTGGTGGTATTGTTCACTAGTGTCTAGTTGAAGACGTGTGGGAGTAAGAATTTATGTTAAAAATATAAATGGTAAAGACCAAAGCCAACTAAATATTTCTATTGAATCTTTTCGACTGAATTCCAGAGATATCATTTTAGTAGCATTCTATTTGCTGTTAAAATAAACTAAAATAACTTTGCAAAAGGTCATTAAGTGTCTCCGACTGTAACTTTAACAAATTCATTTAGTTTAAATAAAAGATTTCTTTCCATATCGATGTGTATTTTTACAATAATAAACATCCTCCTCTTCTTCTTGTACCTGGCAATTTCCTAGCTTTAGCCAGGGTCTGCCTTACATGTTGTGAATAGTTTTGGCTATTTGTTTTTACGACCGGCCGCTTGCCTGACGTCAACCCTCTTTTGGGATTGCATTAATCAGTGATGTCTAAATACTCTTAGAAAGTACATATGCCTCGGAAAAATCACATTGGTACTTGCCCCGACCAGGATCCAACCCGCGCCCTCGTGCATGAGAGGCGGGCCTTTTAACCACTAGGCCACCATTGACTTTGACAATAATAAACATTGTCTTAGAATAAACTTATAGTCGGGAAACTGCTAAAAAATTCAAAATGTCTTGTTTTTTCCTGTATGTAATAATGTTTGACAGGTTAGTGGACCAGCCAGACATTAAAGGTTTCCCCGCTAACTGTGTGTAATCAGAGTTCTAGATAACGATTTTTTACAGGAGAGAGGGTTATCAATTCCGCAATCTGTTATCTGGACATAAAACCCACATCATGTGTGGCTGTGTTTTTGAATAGTAATATTAATTATTAAAGCCTCGTTAAACTTCAATGCTCCATAGAGTAAATACTATTCACTATATTTAAAATTAAAAAATCCAAAAGGACTACTTAGGTACATAGTTTATACAAGGCCTGCACTCCCTCTTTAAAAGTGTACCTCACTATCATTATAAGTTTGTGTTGTAATTTCTTAACTGTCCACAACCACCTACTTTAAAAAGGGAATGGCAACCGGCTCCCTTACTCATTGGACGAAAACCATTTAAAACTACTTCACGCCGATCTTCTGTGAGAGGGTGGTATTTCCCCGGTCGAGCCAGCCCATGTTCGAGCTGTATTAACTGACCACAGCTAGGCCCTACTACCTTCAAAACTTCAAGTCAGTGAGAAATTGAGTAGGATATTAAAAAATAATGGCACTGGTGACAACATCTTCATTTAAAGCATCTGGTTCGCCTTTAGCACAATACCAGTTTTTTACAGTTTAATTTCTGATCCTCACTTTATTGGTGCAATTTACCTGCTTCTGAATTGAGTTCTGTTTTTAATTTCGGTGTTTTCAAGTTTAGAGTGAATAAGACAATCAAGTACTATACAATTAAAATTTAAAAAAAAATACCCCTTGGTACTCATCATTTAGAAGGATATTTGAATGATACAAACGGTCATAGAAAAGATGGCTTGGTAAAAGTGTTAACAGAATAAAACAACAATTAATGTATAGGTAAATTAATTATTTCAAATATATGATAACAAAACGGATAGGTATACATATATTGATTATAATATTAAAATTTCAGTTATTAATCGTTGTAGGAAATTAATGAACCATATTTTATTACAATTTTTTAGTTTCATTACTCTTACAATATATAGGTACAGAAAAAAAGCTGGTTATCGTGTTATTTTTTTTAATTAATCATTTACATTTATAAAATGTGTGTGCTAAGTTAATATTTTATTAAAATTAATTGAAGCAAATTAATTATAATTAGTGAATTTAAAATTATAATTTCTTACACTTTTGCATTCTGATAAAAAAATGTATAAACATTTGGGGTTCATATATAGATTACAAAATAAAATGATATGCATTTTATTCAAAACCAACGTCTATATAAGCGAATTATTTATGGATTAAAAAAAATTAAAACCAACAAGCATTGATTTTTGAGCGCAATTATATATTTAATTTTGTATGAGTTATAAAATATCAAGGCAATTGTAATTGAATATTTTGTCATAATATCTCCAAAAACCTCAAAATTTTACCTTTGACCCCGAATAACTTTTGAAACACACTCAGGATCGATAGGGACTTTTAAAACTTTATTTGTAATGGTAAACCCCAGCTCTCGCCCGATATTTCACTGTCACGGAATTTTATTTATTAAGTTTATTTTCTAATTCATTAACTCTTATTAATGTTATTATTTGACAAATGTCCGAAACGTTAACCATAAATATAAATAATGATTCGTTTTACGTGTTAAGTTTGATTCATAAAATAATTTCCGCAAATTTAGCATAGATTTTTTAAAGATATTTATATGATCGTGGATATCCTCCATGCGTTCGTTATAAAAACCTCAGGGGAAAATGGACAGTCCAATATGTAATGAACCCATAAAGATTGCGTTCTCCGCGTTACTTGAACGCATACCGAAAAATAAAGGCACCTAATAATAATAACTTAATTTTATGAAATTGAAAAAACATCTTATGCTCTAGTTATATACTAACGATTATATCGAAAATGTCTAAAATCATTTTGCAAAACACTGATACTCTTTCGCTACTAACCAGATTATTAGCATTTGCTGCGTTTGATTAAAATCGTGGTTCTTACAGCAGTGGCGGCGCAAGACCTAAATTTGATGTGGGCAATACAGATTTCGCGAGGCCCTGTTCTATGGAAACCTGAAGCTCTTACTGCCTGCTAGTTTTAAAAACTTTAACGTTGATGCATTTTTTTACACTTAAAGCTTTGGTTTCCTTCAAAAGATATTATAAAGCCTATTTTATAGACAAGTAATTACTGCGTTACGTACTTATCACCAATTAAATATTTGTTACGTCATGTAAAATAGACGAGTACAGGTACTGGTGTATTACAAATCACAAAGAAAACAAAAACAATTAAAAAACGTTCGGGGGCAATCAATATACTTAAACACTATCTATTTAATCGCTAAATATTATTAAAACATTGAACACACTATTCTTATCAAAATAGGTTTAATTAATTCTGATTCCCAAAGAGGGTTGATGTCAAGCAGACGACCGGTCGTAAAAACAATTAGCCAAAACTAATCACAACACACTAAGGCAGACCCTGGCTATAGCTGGGAAATTCCTAGGAAGAAGAAGAAAAAGAAATATTTTTTTAATTTTCTAAAATTTTTGAGGCGCGAGGCCCCTTGTACCGCGAGGCCGTAGGCGGTGGCCCACGTCGCCCACGCCTTACGCCGCCACTGACTTACAGTCGCAAGGAAATGCTTCCAAATATAAAATTACAGATTCGAAATGGGTCGTTCCATTTGAGAGCTATGATGCTACCAATAGACAAACACACACAAATACACGTACATATACATAATTATACACATACATATTAACGTCAAATTTATAACACCCCTATTTTTGAGAGGGGGGTAAAAAATAATAGACCATATTATCCCTAGTACCGATGTAGTGTCTCTGATTAAAGTTGTTTGTTGAGAAGTAGCTGTTAAAATTAAACTACTTAATAAGTACTTATATTATCAGATTTACCGCTCGTATATGTATTAATGCGTTTTTGTTTTAATAGGTTTTTACTTGTTTCGGTTATTTGGCAGTAATTGCTTTAGGCTGAGAAACGAGATAAGACCTTCGTCTTATCTTATCTTTCATATCTTTACAAAAGAAATGAGAAAATAACTTATTAACGAATTTAAGTTGGAAACACAATTTTCTTTCATGTTTACATTATACTACCTCCTACTATTATTTTCTTCTACCTGGCAATTTCCCAGTTTTAGTCAGGGTCTGCCTTACATGTCGGAATAGTTTTGGCTAATTGTTTTTACGACCGGCCCCCTGCTTGACATCAACCCTCTTTGGGAATGCATTAATCAGTAAAGTCTAAATACTTTTAGAAAGTACATATGACTGGGAAAAATCACATTGGTACTTGCCTGGGCCAGGATCGAACCCGCGCCCTCATGCATGAGAGGCGGGCCTTTTAACCACTAGGCCACCACTGTCTAACCTATTTACCTACTACCTCCTACTATTATGAGTCTTGTTATTCATAAAGTGTTATATTCATTCCAGGATAGTTATAATTTTTTGTGTTAAATTTAGACAAATCATAAGATTATTGAGAATATTAGAATAACAAGATTTGAATCAGACTTATGGATATATTAAGTTTAAGGAATCACTTGTTGGTTGTCATTAATTTCATTTACATTAACTTATTTTGATAAATGCGAACAACTTCGCGGTGTTGCTCATAATCGATAATAGTAATTAAGACGTTTCTATACGTTTCATTGTTTGAATTTTTATATTGATTATTATGTGTTAAATTATAGTAAAAAAAAAAACAGAAATAAATATACAGAATATATGTTATCATCAATTTATACGTTTAAAAATAACGCTTATTCTTACTTACCTAAATCAATATTTTAAGACTATAACGAATCAAAGTTATTTGTTATGTTTGTTGGAATAGTTTATAGCTTTTGTCTACTTTATCACGTTCTTAAATATAATTTAATGAAAAGTTGAATATACTTTTGCATATTTTACTCATACATTTTTTTTCATCGTGTGTAATAGCTTTAAGAAGTGTAGCGCTTG